CAGATGGCATTCCTTCCCTCCAGCATATCAGCTGTGCCACGCAACTTGATGTCATTGGCAGACTTCCTGGGTGCCCTCAATCCCACTGTTCATGTCACCAAAATAGATATTAAGCGGTGCTGGTCCCAGACTTGGTCTCCACTTGGGCATCGAGCTGTTGACTGCAAGTCTGAGTGCAGCCACCAGCAAATTCCTTATCCAGGGAGAGGTCCATCTGTTCAATTTAGAGACAAGGGGTCTCCTTCAGTACAGTGTCAAACGTTTTGCACAAGTCTAGGCAGACTGTCAGTTGTTCTTCCCTTGTCCACCAACACTGTAAGACAATCATAGAACGAAATTTGTCTGGTGTGGTTTGTTTTACGTGAAGCCATGTTGATTCTCTGCAATCACTGCCTTATTTTCCATGTGCCTTAGCAGAGTTAGCTCCCAGGTGGAGGGTCATGGAGTCTGCTCTATGATCTTGCCAGGTGCAGAAGTGAGGCTTCCCAGCCTGTAGTGCCCCAAGCCTGCCTTTTCTTCCTTTTTGTTAATGGGGGTTATGTTTCCCCTTTTTCAGTCACTGGGAACTTCCTCAGATGGCCACAACAACTCAATGAATGGAGAGTGGCTTGGCCACTTCCTCTGACAGTTCCCTTAGGACTCATTGGATGCATTTTGTCAGTTCCCATGGACTTGTGCACCTTCACCTTCCTTAGATGGTCTCAAGCCTGTTTTCCTATAGCATGTGGTCCTTCATTCTGCCAGTCCCTGCTGCTTTCCCCTTTTATATCTTGGTTTGGAGCACTTCTTCTTGGTGAAGACGGAGTCGGAAACATCATTGATTACCTCAATATCCATGGAAACCAGGCCTCCTGTTTCTTCCTGGAGAGGGCCCACGTTTTCCCCAGCCTTTCTCTTATCACCAATGTGCCTACAGAAGCTTCTTGTTGCCCTTGATCCCTTGGATTTTTTTTCAATGAGTCATTTCATGCTGCAGTAAAGGTCTGACACTTTGTGGCTGCTGGAGGTGCATCATGTGAGTGAATGTTTTGTTTAGCTGTGGGAAATATGGTTGACAAGGGGAGTTTGCTACAGCTACTAGTGGTCACATATCTAGGTTAAAAATCTCATAGTAAATAGTATAGGTGACTTGAAGATAATATCTTTGCATGAGCTATGGAGTATTTTCTGTTTCTGCATTTTGATTTCCACAGCTTGTGAAGGAAGCTCAGCAGATTTAATAGTACATGCTTTTCTCACAGCACATAGGGCATTTATCAATAGTTAATGACTTGATGGTAAAATATGTTAAAGAAATTTAATTTAGCCTGTGAAATCCAGCTCTTGAGGTTTTTATAATTATTCATGCAGGTTGAAATATCTGCAGAGTGAATAAACTGCAGGAAGGAGTTCTGTGGATTCAGTTGGTTTTCAGTTGTGGATTCAATTTGATTTGACAGCCTAAAACTGTTCAGGTTTGTATAGTTCCAGATCTTGAGATTGGAGAGCTACTATCTCTGATGTCAATTACTGAAGTTTTGCTTTCCTTCTTACATGCTTGGACTTCATCTGAATACCTTTATCAAGACTGGCTTGGTTAGAAAATTGACATTTCTCCAGATCTTTGTTTTGCTGTGTTTCTGTCTGCTTTTCTGAAGAAAAAAACCCCAAGCCTAATCCTCAGTTTTTAAGAACTGTGTGTTCTGACTGCTCATCTCTTGGTGAAGGAGATCTCATGTTCTCTTACATGCATTCTACCTGAAGTTTAAAGGTAGAGTTTTTTTCCTTCGTATATATTTCCTTCCTTTCCTTTATTTTCTTTTCAAGTTGCTGACAGTTTAGTGGACCTGGCAGATCTGTTTTATCATAGGTCATCCTTCAGACATCCTGGTATAACAAAATCTTGAGAACGTGACCGTCTGGCCCAGATGTTGGCTAGTACAAATAACGGTGGAATTCTTGTTTTGAATCAGCACTTGACTGGAAAAACCAAAGAACTACCTAACATCTGGATTTCCGATCTGCAAAAATAAAAGCTGATATGGGGGTTCTTCAGTTGATGGAAACAACTGATGGTACATGTAAGTGCTTTTGTATGAAAAACATTAAATGCTAGAGAGCTCTATGTAAATGCATTTGAAAAGATAACTGGAAATAGGAACCAAAATCTGGAGCTGGGCATTTGAATGGGAAATTTGATACTAGAATTTTTTTACAGAAAAAAATTGATGCAGAAAGGGATGATTGAGGGCAGTATTACTTTGCTTTTGATGCCTTCAATGAAAATGTTTACCCAAAATTTAAATAAGGCTTAACAAAATAGGCTGTATTTAATGAAGGTGGTCAGATGAGGCAAACTAGTGATCCCTTCTTGCCTTGGGCTAGAATTAGGGAGATGTGTTCAGCACTGTGGTATTGTTGCAGACTTCAGAAAGGACACAAATGAACAGGTGTTCCCTGTGTCTGTTCCTGAGTAAGCCCTGGTACAGTTGTTAGCTGTGAGTGCCTGTTGTCTCATCATTGCTCCTGATGCTGTCAGTTGGTCTCGCAGTCAGCAAGAGCAGTAGTGAGATTTTTGGACCTTGAATACTGGATGACTGTGTTCCTTCAGTGGACAAAGACTATCAGATGTTGCACCAGTGTTCCCTTTTTCAGGCTGATTGACAGACCTGGCCATAGTTTGCTTTATTAGATCCTTTTGCTATTCTCATTTGTCATAGCTGGACACAATCTCAAATATTTGGAGGTTTTTCACTCACTTTTGTTCTTTGTTCTTTCATCAAGTTATTTTTTTCCTGTGAGCTTTCTGCTGTTTCTGACATCTGTCTTCTTTTTTCCTGAGTGCTTAGTTTTCAGTCACTGGACTCCATTTTGTATTTTGTGTTACTTTGCATCAATTTCTCTGGCTACTCATTCCATGTTTTGCCAGCTGTCCCAGAGTGCTCTTCTCTGCACTCTGCATTGTTGTTGAATCTGTTTATCTTTGCTCTATCTCATTACTTCAGTTCTTTGTTATGCACTAGAGAGACAAGTAGATTTTGTTCAGTTCTCCTTGGTATTTGTGGAATTTGGTGTAGGAGTCTCTTTTAAGGTGTGCATGACAATCAAGTCCTGCATTCTGGTAGATGTCCCTACTCATTGGTTTGGCAGAGGGCATGCTGCTGTAGCAGTAGCACTAGTGAGCACTGAAGTATTGTCTTGGTCTGAAAAGACAGGTGTCTGCTAAAGAAGGCAGGAGCCTCCCCTGAAATGGAAACTGTAAACCCCCTCCCTCCATATTGTTATAATTTTGAAATTAAGGAGCTCTCAGGCAAAGATACGGGAGCAGGAATAACAGTTCTTTATTAGGAAAGAAAATTAAAAAAAAATAGAAGAAAAGAAACAGTACAGTAATACAAAACAACACTGACAGAGTCAGGATACAGCTCGAAACCCTGTGGGTCAGGGTGTTGGTAGCAGTCCCATTAAATGGTGGATGCAATTGTCCTGCAGTGAGTGGTGTGGTTCTGTTGGAGCTGTGATCCTGTGTTTTCCTCTGAAGATCCAGTGGTGGTGTAGATGGGCCTGGTTTTCCTCTGGGAATCCGGTGGAAAAGGCTGACTATGGTCTTCCAAATTTCTGATTATATCCAGAGAGGAGTGCTTGGCTCCTCCCTCTGGGTGGCACACCTCACAATGGGCTGGTGTGATTTTTATCAGTCATGCAGTGAGACTCAATGGCCCATTAACAGAAGATATCTCCACGAGGGAGGATTGGTTGTGGAAAAGATGAAAACTACCCAATTAACAAAAGATAACTGCACCACTTCTAACAAATAGGAATAGAATACACACCAGCATTTCCAACCTAAGACAAGTATACCACATGGTATTAAAAAATAACTGTCACTTTGAAGTCAGGGTTTAAAAGCTTGGCTGTTGTCTCAGTTAAGCCCCCCACAGGCAGTTTATACTGAGGCGCAGGAAATGAAAATGGATCCCTGTCTTGTTTCAACACACTCTGGGTTTTGGGACAGGTATTACATATAAGGGTCTATATTGTTTTCACTTCTGAAATGAATTGTCTGCACAGTGCTCTTATTAATAAGCATTTTTACTATTCAGCATTATTTGCTGGATAGATGAACTTAAAAAAAAAAGGGAAAAGATATCAGGCAAAATGATGTCATAAGTAACTTAGTTTCTTGATTAATTTTACCTTTTGTAGAACAAATTACGCCAGTCTTGCTAGATCAGTCTTGTGGTGATCCATCTAAAATATAGAAAGATCCATCTAAAAAATAGAGGCTCTTCTACCCTCTCAATTAAATGCACAGTTCTGGTAATAATTTTCATAATTTTGTGTACGTCAACTAAAGTTTCACTTTTTCAGCCAAACTGATCTAATATAGCAGTTCCCAAATTGACAGTTTCATTCCTTTTTCCTTATATGGTGATCCAAGTGCTTTACTGAGCCTGCAAGATTTTGTGATACTGTTCTTTTTTTTTGGTGCAAGGTAGCTCTTGATAGCTTTATATTTCCTTTTTCTTTTATCCTAGCCTTTCAAGCTCTGAAAGCTTTAAAAGTTTTAGTTTTCTTAGGTGTCTAAACTTGTTTATAAGACTGGAAAATTGCAAAGGTGGAACTTATTTATTTGATTTCTTTGCAAATCTAGCTCTCTGTAAATCCCATTTTCAGACTGAAAGACAGCTGAAATATTGTACTCATCTTTATATACAAACATACAGGAGGGCTGCTGACTGCCTAGTGTGTGTGCAGCTTCTCTTAAAATATAACTCACAGATAAGATGCATCAGTTTGTTGAATGCTCAGGAATTCTCACCTCTGCTTATCACACACACTCCCCCTTCTTACTTTTGAAGATCAAGTCCTTATAAACATCTGTTACCAGGAGGTGGTAGAAACAATATGTGTAATGGCTAGGGATTCATTGTTGCTAAAAGCATCATAGAACATAATATTTTCATAATTGTCAATATGAATGTGCTTGGAAAAAACTCCAATGATTTCTTTTTTTACAGAAAAACCTGCCATTGCCCCACCTGTCTTTGTATTTCAAAAGGATAAAGCACAGAAGGTAAGGAGATATTGGTACCTATTTTTGGTTTTGTTCTTAGCCCTGACTCCTTCCTTCCATGGTGATTAGCCTTTGTATTGTTGTGAAGCTGAAGGTGGCGAATAGAGCATTAACATCATTAATGGGCATAGGGCAGGCAGGAACTGAGGGGCTAAAAGTGGGAAGATGTATGGTGGTTTCACAATTACAGGTAGCTCTTCAGACAGAAGATGGACCAGTGTGGAAGAAAAAGTATGGTGAAGGTGTATCTTGAACATGAGTCAGAGGAGTGCTGATGCACTTAGCATGACAAAGCTACAAAATTTGTTTTTCTGATAATAGGGTTAAGATCAAGCAAAGAAAACTGGTCCAGATTGTTGCTTTTTACCTCAGGGTACTTAAATGTCTCTCATATCTTTGGTTTGTATGCTGTGAAGTGTCTAGTTACCTTGGGAAATGGTAATTCTGTTCCTGCATCTCAATATGGTATTTAATTCTGTCTGGTTAATAGTAAAAGCTAGTAAGATTTATGTGGGAAAAAAATCAAGGTTATTCAGGTTTCTGTTGAAGATGGTGGGAACCAAGAGAAGTATGTGATACGCTTTCTGTCGGATCACTGGATTGCTTTGTTGTTTGTGGAGTCAGAAATGTTTGAATTGAAATACTGAATCATTTTTCAGTTGATAGCTTTTCTTTAGTTTAGAACAAGTACCAGACTGAAGCTTTCTCACACGTTCAATAGGCATATTCCTCAGCAGGAACTTGAAATAGTTTTTCAGCTTGGAAAGGATTTAAGTCTGCTGTCCTCCTAGTATTAGCTAATCAAATTAAATCTGCTAGAGAGTAAGAACTTTCAAGACATTGTTTTAATTACATATTTTACAGTGACTGTTTACATATACTGTGGAATGAAGGAGTGGTAGTGTTTGCACTACCAATTCTGATCATGTTTCCTTTTAGGAAACAGCTCCCAGTCACCCACTGTTGCTTAGACTGTTCTGAAGTCCCTTACAAGTTGCATCATGGTGAGTGTTCTCTGCAGGTATCCCTTACCATGGTGGTGATCATAGTGTGTAGTCCAGGCAGAGTGACATGGTCCTGTGTCCTTTTTACCTGCCCTGGTCTTTACATGCCAAGATAGCAGTTCTTGCACTCTCAAGTTCCTTCATGATGCACCTTTGCTTCTGCACCCCTTCAGCAGCCTCCATACTGCATGCCTTCAGCATTAAGCTGTGCAAACTCCTGCACTGGGCTGTGACACAGTTCTGTTGCGCTCTGATGGTTGTCAATAAAATATTTGTAAAAATATATACATTAAAGGGATAATGTGTTTTGGGACTAGCAGTGATGATCCAGAGAGAGACATCTCTGATTTTAATCTGCCCAGCTGCCTCTGAGGATGCTGAGGTGATGCTGAACAGATAGCTGTGTTCAGGACCACCTCTGCCTCAGCACAGACAGAAAGTCTGGCTTTGTTTGGTAGAGAGTCTGTGGATTTCTCAGCATCTTGAAGGCACATGAGTTAGAAATAAGTTGTACATTTATTTAAATGTCAAGTGGTGGTGATGCTGTTATTGGGGCTAGCCACTGTTGCTTTGGGCATGGAGTAAGTCTGGCTTGGGTGGGGAATAGGGCCTGTTCCTTGAAACAGATCAGAGAGTCTAGTGGCAGCATCTGTCAGTTAGTTGCCAATTTTCAGAGTAGTAACAGACATAAATGCTTATGCTAAACTGTGTGTTGTATGGAGATGTAGGATTTTTGAAGTGGTTAATAATTTTAGTAGCTTTTATTGTGGTGTAGTTGACACTGCAGAGAAGGACTTGTAGAAGTATCAGTGCTGTGCTTCTTGCAGTTTGATTGGATTAAGAGCTTGTTGCTTGTGCCAGTAGTTGTTTTTTGTAGTATAGATATAGAAGTAGTATAGTCAGAACATGATGCTGTGAGCCCAAAGTAACAGCATATATACTATGCTGTATATATCAGAACCTAGCATTTAGGCCAGTTTTAATCAACTTAATTAAGGAAAAGTGCATCAAGTTACATACTGGTTGAGATCTATCACTGTATTTTCAGAAAGACTTAATAGCTAGGTGTTCCCAAGAAGGGTAAACTCCGTTACTCTTTCTGTAAAAGGTGCTTGGTTAAGTGCATTGCCTACTGCTAAAGACTATCCTCCTTAAAGTTATCAGGGAAATCCTGTAAACAGAGGAGTTTTTCCTTCAGCAGTGTTTTGAAGAAAATGCAAAAGTAACTTCAAAATAGTTGTCAAACAACACACTACTTGAATATGTAATTTCTCAATGTAAATTATAATATTTTAATTTAGCAAAATGTCTATCTAGTCACGTCACTTTTTTCTGTAAGCAGAAGTGTTAGTGGAGGGTTTTTAGTGCTGGCACAGCAGTCTGACAATAAGCTGAGGGGAAGAAAAAGCACTGCATTGTGTATTCAGTTAACTGTCTGTGACGGTTATGTATGTTTGTCTACTATTTTTCCACATAAACCTGGATGTCCTAAGCAGAATGATTTAGTTGCAGCATCTACAGATCCTCTCAGCAGTACAGCTGGGTTGATATAATTCAGTGCTCTTACTGGTTTTTCTGGAACTAACAGTAGTGTCAACTATTAAGTTAAACAATGTTCTTTTTCTAGAAATCCTGACTTAAGTTTGTGCTTGGTAGGTGTCTGACATTTGGGTCATACCAACACCATGGAACATTTGAGGCTTGGAGCAGAGTGGCTGGAATGCTGCCTGGTAAAGAAGGACCTGTTGGTCCTGGTCAGCAGTGGCTGAACGTGAGCCCAGGTGTGCCCAGGTAGCCAAGAGGGCAGTGGCACCTGGCCTGTACCAGCCACAGTGTGGCCAGCAGGACTGGGCACTGCTGAGGCATTTCAAATCCTGGGTTCAGTTTTAGGCCCCTCATGACAAGAAAGTCACTGAAGGGCTGGAGCATGTTCAGAGAAGGGAACAGAGCTGGGGAAAGGTCTGGAATACAAGGCTAATAAGGAGCAGCTGCAGGGGCTCAGCCTGGAGAGAGGGAGGCTCAGAGGAGACCTTCTCGCCCTCTACAACTCCCGGACAGGAGGGTGGCGCCAGGTGGGGGTCAGGCTCTGCTAGCAGGGAGCAAGGGACAGGATGAGAGGAAATGACCTCAAGCTGCGCTGGGGTGTTTTAGGTTGGATATTGGGAATTTCTTCACTGAAAGGGCTGTCCAGCCCTGTCAGTTACCCAGGACAGTGGTGGAGTCCCCATCCCTACAGGGAATTAAAAGCTGTGTGGATGTGGCACTTGGGGATGTGGGCCGCTGGTAGACTTGGTAGTGATGAGGGAATGGCTTGACTCTGATCTTGGAGAAGTTTTCGAACCTGAAAAATTATATGGTTTTATGATCTTTTTTTCCACTAGAAATTGGAAAATATTCAGGATGTTCTAGGACAAAATTCATACCAGTCGGGAAACTAATTCTTTAACTGCATCTTCCAGCTAGGGATATATACACTTGAATAAAACATCAGACCTTGCAATTTGACATGTTTATTTAGAGGGGACAAAAAATGCATAGGGTTCATAATGCTGCCCCTTAATGTTGTTTTATAGAAGGTGGTTTGAATTTTCTTTTGCAGTTAAAGACACTTGAGCATGTCCAGAGAAGGGCAACGAGGCTGGTGAGGGGATTGGAACACAAGCCCTATGAGAAATGACTGAGGGAGCTGGGGTTGCTTAGCCTGGAGAAAAGGAGACTCAGAGGTGACCTTATCACTCTGTACAGCTTCCTGAAAGGTGGTTATAGTCAGGTGGGGGTTGGTCTCTTTTACCAGGCAGCGACTGATGGAACCAGAGGACACAGTCTCAAGGTGCGCCAAGGGAAATTTAGGTTGGATATTAGGAAAAAGTTTTTTACAGAAAGAGTGATAAAGTTCTGAAATGATCTGCCCGGGGAGGTGGTGGAGCGGCCATCCCTGGATGTGTTTAAAAAAAGACTGGATATGGTGCTCAGTGCCATGGTTTAGTTGAGGTGTGAGGGCATGGGTTGGACTTGATGATCTTGAAGGGTCTCTTCCAACCTCATAATTCTGTGAATTCTGTGAAAAGATAGGATTAGTGTGTCCTGGTTTTCAATTTAGATGTCAATTAATGGTGGATGTTAAGTTTGTAGTTACTAAATATGAGTGGGTCTGCATTTTCATGATTTTTATATCTCCTTAACTATTTGAGAACTATTTTTACAAAGTGTGAAATATAATATTGCAAATATCTGAATAGTAGCACTGCTATTCGTGTTTCTGACAGAGTTCCCTAAGGCTGACACGTGTTGGAAAATTGCATCAGCTTAAGGCTCAAACTGCTGAGATCTGAAAGCAGTACAAAGTCTGAGCCTCACTATGTTAGGCATGGAGTATTTCTGTTACTCCAAATAACTTCTTTATGAGCTAAGCTGTGTTTTTCATAGCCCTTTTTGAATTAAATATTTTAATTGATGGATACAACTTATATCTGTGTTTAATATTAGACACTTTGGTGTTTCTGATCTGAAAGTGATTTTAGCTTCTGCCATAAAACCATTTCATGACAATGGTTTTTCTGGCCATAGATTACTTTAGGTGGTTTTCTGAAGTTAACTTTTAACATGGATTTCTGAGGTGAAAGTATTCTGTAATTTCTGGATTGACCCATTTTTAAGCAATTATATTAGCTCAAACAAATTAAATCAGTAGTAGCATAAAGAAACACTTTGTCCAAAAATGTTTTTAAAATAGTGTCATTTGTTCTGCTAGTATGAACTGTTGGTAAACTGGTCGTTACTCATAGTCATCTCACAGGACCATCACAATCACCATTGTCATCACATATGACCTCCCTAGTCACATGTATAGGAAAAGGTAGATTCTCCACTCAGATTTAAAAAACTTCTGCACTTGAAAACACCATTGTTTATGATGTAGCTTGCACCTTGTCCTCCTCCCTCCACCAGCCTGTGCTGGGGTATTGGTAGAATATAGAAAAGAGCACTTTAGTTTGCTGTATAACTAGTTTTGATCAGTGTACTGCTTTCCATATGTGAGTTGATAATGGTGGCCTTTTAAGATTGACTCTGAAAGAAGGTAAGTTATGTGAAACTTGGGTCATGTTCCATACCAAAGTGGTACAGGTGACTGGGGGTCCTAAATGCAAAGCTTCTGGAGTGAATGAGGGCTTATGTTGTTAAACCGTTCAAGCTGTCATCATGGTCTTAACTATGGAGTTTTAAAACTAGGTGTAGAGTTGTAAAACTGATGGATGTGATTGGAAGATGGCATTCCCAGGTAGCCTGGAAAGCAAAATCATGAGTTAATTTTTTTTTCTATGATATGTAAAGTAGGGGTTAGTTGAAGTCCTGCTTTGATGCAGTGTTATTTGGAAATGCTTGGGTTTTGGTGATTTGGGGAGGCAAATGACTAGAAAAGATTCTTCATGCTGTGGCCATGACTTACAGGTTTAGGATAGTTACAGAGAGAGAACTGTGAAGTAATTTGTGTACAGAGAGGCCGAGCATTCCCTTTCCCAGTCTGTTTCAGTGTTGTTAGCATGGATACCCAGTGCAACTGTATTATAAGTCCATACTATTCTTAAGGAGTTAAAATTTGTGCTTAAGAGGTCATAATTTTGAATATGTTGCTGTACTTAAAATAACAGTCACAAGAAGGTATTTGGAGAGACAGTTGTGTAGAAAAAGCTTGGAGGAATATAGAGAGGCTGATAAAGGCTGTTAGGCATATAGGCAAGAATTGTCCTTGGCTCTAAGCAGGTAAAACATGTGAAAAGATATACTGGGAGTAGTCTTTTTAGGCCATTGGATAGAGGTGCTAGGGTGAGGCAAATAAGGAAGGGGGTTGCAAATAATTCAACTCAGAAATGGGAGGAAGAGCTGGTCCAAGAGTGCTTGTTCCAGTCTTTATTGAAAAATAATATGATTTCCTTGCCTATATTTGGTGACTGTGGTATCATGTGAGTCTTAGCTTTTAATTGTTCCTTCATGTCTCTCTTTATTTTCTGCAATAGAGAGGAAGCCAAATCTCCAAATAGATGTATTTAGTCTGGGTGTGTTATTTTTAGTTTAAAAAAAATAGAAGTTGTTTGATCAGGTTGAGCAAGGTGAATTTGTGTAGGTGGCTTCCTAATATTATTCAACTCTCCCTTGATCTTTGCCATAGTGTTTATGAGGCAGGAACTGGTTTCTGTCAAGTTCTCCCTAAAACTGTATTTTATAAGGAATGCTTTCTCTAGAGAGAGGAGGCTCAAGGAGTGACACATTTCTCAGGCAAAATATTCCAGCCAAAATGAAGAGAGTGAGCTGTTCACCACCTCCAAAGAACTTCCAGAAAGACCTTAGATCAGAATTCATGAAGCTAACAGACTAGGAAACACTTTGAATAGTATGCATGACCAAGGATTAAAATTAATTTAAAGAGTTCACAGTTTCCTTTGGATATGCTTTTTTGAGAGCAAAAAACAGGCTGCACAAAATCTGCCTGGAGCAGTTCTGGTTTGATAGATAAATCCTTGAGTCTTTGTTGGTCTTGTCTTCCCTGACTTAAACCATATACTATTCACAGAATTCTGAAATTTACAGTAGTTTTTGATTAATATACTTTTTCTAATATAATTTAATTTTTTAAAATATAATTATATATTGGCCATTAAATTCTTATATTGGTTTCAGATTTTTCTTCATAGAAGTGGTGATTTGCAATAGTTATTTTTCTTTGTTTTGTGGGTCTTGAAGCAGATATTCCAGTCTTGCTTAGGATAGAAGTCAGATTTATACTTATTTCCACTTTTAAAAATGCTTGACAGCAAGTAGTTCAAGTATTACAGGAGTTATTAAAATCTGTTGGATGTTTACTTAGCCTACTTTAGGATATTCTAGACTGGGGTGATATCAATTATTTGCAAAATATTTTGTCATTTGCAATTTTAAGTGCTTAGCACAAGTGTGCATTGCAAGTTCTTGCCTCTTCTTCATTACGAGCAATTTTCTAAACTGTACCTAGAAGTCAGTATAAATTTCTGGTAAGGCTCTTTTTTTACATATATTTTAAGTGCTTTGCCCAGTTCCAGGTAGCCTTTCCTCCTGTTCTCCCCAGACAAAAAGGTAAGGATAGTGGCTAGACTGCTAGATTTTATTAAATATTTGGTGAAAAAATGTTTCTTTAACTCTTCTCATTTTGTGGGGTTTTAAGCTAGTGTTGGGTCTGTTATTTACAGCTAAATATTAAAATGTTAGATAACTTTGACAGTACAAAAACCCAGCACCCTGAACTTTTACCTGATATCCATAGTAATATCCTCATAAATATATTTTTACTATTTTGAACCTTAATTATAGTAATTTCTTGCATAATAAAATTTCATGTATCACTGGCTTAAGTTACCATGACAGGGCAAGTGTTACTTGAAGAACTTGGCTCTTAAGTCCTGCTGTTTATTTTTCAGACTTTTGCTTACTTTCTTGCACAGACCAGGGCAATGATGAGCATTTTTAGTTTCTTCATTCTACCAAGTGTTTTCTGGGAGCAAACTGAGGTTGTGTCCTTTTGAGTGCCATCTTTTCCTTACTGCATAATTCTTCAGGTACTTCACCATAAGATGCCGGGAAGCACAGGCCACAGATTGCAAGTGCACATCCTTGGCCTGCATGTTATCCATGGACTATAATTCAGTCCTTAATCACAATACAGTTGTTTGTGCTCAAAGCCTTTTTATAACTTGTTCGTTCTTCAGATGTGTACAGAATATGATAATGCTAGCTTTTGTTGTACAGGCAGGGATGTGCAACATTAAATGATGTGAAGGAATGAAAAGTCTGTGGCAGAAGTTCAGCAAACACCAAATCCCATTAGGGTGCACTAGTTATCCAGTCACGTCCCTCCTTGAATTAGATTGAAACTTGCTAATTTATGAAAAAAACATTGGTGTTGCTTTTCAGATAATTCACTGTCATATAAATATGAAAGGATCCTGTGTCTTGTGTGAATGTTAAAATAATTAATTTCTGTGAGAATTTTATAACCAACCTCACCTCCCTCAAAAGTGGGCTGAAGAGGCAGTGGAGGACACTTATTTAGAGTAATTGTTTAATTTTTAGATCTGAATCTGAAGGTGAAAGTTATCAACTGTCCTTTAATCCTTGAGAGAGGGGAGGGGTTAAACCCCAACAAGACTGTGGCTGGCAAAATCCTCTTTGCTGGTGACACAGATGATTTTGGTAACTTTCAAAAGAGTGCATTTGCTCCAACTAAGGCTTTTCTCAAGGATGGGAACTAATTCTGTCAGCACGTTCTGTTACAGAGTTTCTATGTATTTTAATTGGTGTCTCAGGAATAAGCAGCTTCTTCTGCCCTACTGTGAAAACAGTGAAAATTAAACAAATGGATCCGCTCGCTAGGACGACCAATCTCATGTTGCAGCCTTGCATTGAAGGGACGTTGTCTTTTCTGCTCACAGTCCCCTGCAGAGCAAAAAGCTTTGTCGGATTCAGGCGAGGACCCCCAGGGAGAGGTTGAGCCCCCCTACCATGGTCTGGGTCACACAGAACCAGCTGGTGAGTGCGACTCTGAGCACCCTGCTCCTGCTGTGGCCTCAGTCAGTGCTACCCTGAGTCCTGCTTCTGAAGCCCAGCTTGCTCCTATTCAACAAGAACTGGCAGGGGTAAGTGTCAATCTACCAAGTACTTCTGCTGCTGAGGGGATTAGAGGAAAAAGTCCCTTCCGTTAGGTGGAATCCGTTACTGTTCAGTGTAGGTAGTGCAAATCACAGTCTGTCTGGTTCTTTGATTTCAAGTGTTAGTCTTCTCTAAACCCCTGTTCCAATTAGAAGTAATGAAATTTGTGAGTCTCCCTAGTAGCATAGCATAATTGTAGAAGACACCTAAAGTATTTTAAAATTTAAAGTGTAAACTGTGTGTTTGCTAAGGGCAAGAGCACTTCTAAATAAATGAGAAAGTGGGTCTATATTTGATGGATTTGCTTCAAGCACTTAGAGGAGGACTCTTTGTTCCCTCTATGGGCCATAATATGCTGCAGCTTGACCAAGTGAGAAGGTAATGCAGCTTCCACTGGGTATGTCGTGCCGACCCGTAAGGTATTTAACAGACTAAAAGCACCAAGCATCGTAGCAGAGTTTTGGATTAGGGACGAAATCAGTATCTTGTGGAAAAGCTGTCAGTGCTCATAATTTGATTTTTCTTCTGGTGATGTGGCAAAATCTTTTCTGAAAGACTGGATGACTAAATGACTCCTACCATACAGTCTTTCAGAGCAACTTTAAGTGTTCCTAATCTTTCTGGTTGGTGGACCATGTTTTCTTGGTACAGATGAGTGTCACTGTTCATTCTGGCATCACACCCTAGGCACGTGCTCTTTGCTCAAGCTTTGTTAAGGCTGCTTCACCCAATACCTGGACCCTTTTCTTGCACTGGTTGGTTTCGAGTTTTTTTGTCCAAGAATTGGCCATTTCAAATAAACCTAGTACTGAGTGGATTGTCATGATAAGGTGCTAATAGCTGTAGGTTAAGCACCTCTCAATGTTCAGACTGTTGCTTGATTAACTGCAGAACTCTTTCTTTTTTGAAGCTTGACATTTTTGAGACTTAATATTTTAAAATATAGCTGGTAAGCATGTGCGGAAAATCACGCTCTGAAAAACCAATGTCCATAAAGAAGACAGAGGAGTCTTGCAACTTTATTTGAATAAAAAAGGAGAGAGTACCCTGGCCACACATTCCCACCAGGTTTTCTTTCTTGAGGTTCTGGAGGGTGCAGCCTTCTCTTTTAATCCCAAATTCCCGGCCGCATGTTGCCCTCTTCCTTTCCCCATTGTCTGAAGTACTAGGAAGGTAGAGCCTTCCCAAACTGCCTATTGCATATTCCCCCTTCAAAGTGCCATTTTACCCCAAAGTTCCTAAGTTCAAGCTTGTGCTGAGTCCCCCACTTGTCTGTTTCAGGAGTTGGGCTGTCTGGGCTCCATAACAAACCTGCTGCTTGTGTTAGGGGAGAATTAAGACCAATTTCAAAGATGTTAACACCCATACCCTCACCCATGGAATTCTTTGTAACGATGTTATCACGCATCTTTCCTATCAAACATAATCACAGACTTTTTTCTCAGTTTTCTGTCATTTGAAAGTGCAGTTACTAGAACTATCCAAGAGAATGGTGTTAACCAGACTTTCAGGAGCGCAGAAAGTGGTTATCTTCGTCTTGTTCTTAGAGAGCAGAAAATCTTACCCCAGTTAACTGTGTTCTGAAAGAAATTTAAAACCCACAAATGCTGTTGGGGATCATATGCAGAAATTAGTGGCCGTACAAAACATCTGTTTCAGCATTCTTCTTGATTCAATTCAGTTAAATGTACTGAATTGTATGTTGCTCAGTATGGGCATGTGACTGGCATGCACTAGCAAGTACTCTTCAAATTATTCGAGTGTCTTACAGCAAAATCATCCCTTACCTTGAAATCTAGAGGAGATTGATGCATCTTAAGAGTGCTTGTACTGGCTCATTGGAGAGTCAGTTTTCATGCAGTCTTCTCAGGGCCTGGGAAGATGGATGAGTTAAGACAGAAGAAGAGACACTGCATATTTCTTGTTTACTTGTTTGTATACACATTCACAGATATTTCTGGAATGGCATGAATTTAGTGTGGCCGTAGGTACAGCCCCTTGCAGAGCTGATGGTTATGTCCTAACTCTTTGCTGTCCCACCCCAACCTCCCACAGCACATGACAATCCCAGCAAGACTGCTGATTAAGAGATTCTGGAACAGCTTTTAAGCAAATCATGGCAGTTCAATAATGCCTGTGTATGTGCAGAGTGTCTGGACTGAAGACTTGCTTTGAAGCACTACTGTGCTTTGAAGTCCATTTTATATGATTTTTGCATCTTGAAATGCATTTTCAAAGATAAACACTAGAAGTGTTTCAAAGATAAACACTAGAAGCTCCTAGAGCTTTTCCTGAATTGCATTGACCTTTTCTGCTTTAGCCAAATTCTCCCTTCCTCTCCCTGTTTCTCCTCACTAGTGTAAATAAGCAAAAACTGACAATTTAAAGTTTTGCAGTTCTTCTCTTAGCTTGATGTAACAATTGTGTGACAAATCAATGTTTGTATTTAGTTAACATCTGTGTCGTATGCTTTTAAGAAGCAGTTGGTTGCCTTTATGACGCTAATTTCCTTAACTAGAAGCGTGTCTTAATTGTAGGAGCCTCTATAAATAGAGGCATATATGTAACTTTTCTCTAGCTGGATTTCTGAAAGCTGGGGACAGAGGGAATAAGTGAAAAGTGGCTTCTGCTCTTCAGTGAGAAAATTCTAGGTTGGATTTTGCTGTTACCAGTTTGTGTCTCATCAGCATCTATTCCAAAGAACTGAATGGAGATAAATTTAATTACCTTAGTGGTTTCTTACAGTATGAGCTGGTCCTTGCTTTTGTTTCCATTTTGTGGGGTACTTATTTAAATCATTATTTTAAAGCTTATTGTTGCTGTAAAGTACAGACTGAGTAGGTTGAGAAGTGTAAAATGGAAAGACTGGACTGCTGTTCATTGTCACTAAATGTAATTTGCTGCTTTTCCGGTCTGTCAGGTTTGTCATGCATATATAAACCCCTGCTTTTTGTCTAGTGTACCCAGCTTCCTCTGAAGCAGCACTGGTATGCAATTCTGACTGCAGTGGTGACTTACTTTATCTGTGGTTTCATAGAAAAGTGAAGCTTATGCTAATACAGTAGATCTGTGTACCCCCACGGAATCTACCTGGCATCTATTTGACCACAGGTACGCAGCTTTAATCTCCCAAAACTCTTGGGCTAGGAAGCATGGAAATAACTTGGAGCAGATTTTCTGTTCTGCTTTGCCCTCAGTAGAGTACAGAGTTGGTTTTGGATATTGATGCCTGTTACCCACTAAACATGGTGATGGTACGTGAGTTGTGCTTGTCAGTTACAAAATTACAATGATAAGATTATTTGAGGGACAAGCCTCAAATCATATGGGTTTGACTTTTGAATGTTTTACTTGAGCATTGAGAATGAAGCATCTGTCAAGTTTTTGACATTCAGGTGGAAATAATTTGTTTATTTTTAAGGATTTTTTGCATATAGAGATTGCAGTTCCAGTCATGCAAATTTTTTACTGCCAAGTGTTTTCTTTTCACTTTCAGGATTTTTGATAAAAGTGGAAACTAATTGCTTTTGTATGTGACAACACTTTATGGGCAAAATGGAAAAATTTTGAGTTCAGATGCTGATTGTTGAAATACATGATATCATGGTTTTCTATTTTAGCCTTATCTTTTGGGAAAGTATTGTGTGTTGGCAAGGTCAGTGACTGATAAGACCACTTTCTGGTAGTACCATGGACTACTTGACTAATTATGTGGAAAGAGCCATGGATCATCAGTTGCAGTATTGACATGGCTGGGCTGATAGTTCTGGAATGCAACTCCCTGCATTCACACACACCTGTCAGTAGCTTCTTATTCCTTATGCTATAGGTTTCAAAAGTACTGAACTAGGGTGCTAGTGAGGTAGCTATGAACGTAAAACAAAACAGAAAAGCCCTTAAAGGTAATTAAGTAGACACAGTGCGGTGTGTTTTTAATTGGCGTTTAATAGAGTACTGATAGTACAGTATTATCTGGGTTCTAAATGTATGCAATGCTAAATAGAAAGTTTTTTACTTTCTGATATTCTTACATCCATGGTATGCCTCAGATATCAGTCCTGTGCAGATTTGTGCAGTCTTTCTGTGTTTCTGCCTGCTCTCAGTGTCCAAGTGGGCCAAATCATGGTGGAGGAGGAGTTTTGGGGCATCAGTGGGCTCTGCCCATGAGCTGCCATTCTTCCATTTATCAGCCAATCTCTGAAGTAAGACTGAGTGAAGGGGAAGGTGGCCATCTGCATGTCCTGGGGCAGGAGTGGGATGAAAGGGTAGTGCTGGACTAGGCAGATGGTCCAGTATGCCAGAGCTGTCTGAAAGGATGGTGTAGCCAAGGTGGGGGGTTGGTCTGTTCTTCCAGGTAACAAGTTACAGGACAGAAGGATATGGCCTCAAGTTGAACATTTAGATTGGATATTAGGAAAAGCATGTTCCACAAAAGGTTTGTGCAGCCATGGAACAGGCTGCCCATGGCAGTGGTGGAGCCATCTTCCCTGCAGGGATTTGTAAGATGTGTGGATGTGGCACTTGTGGACACGTTTTAGCATTGGGCATGGCAGTTCTGATGGATCACTTAGACTTGAAGATCTTAAAGGTTCTTGCTTACCTAAGCAATTCAATTGTTCTGAGATGTTTTGTAGTGAGATCAAGATGTGATGCAGCTGTGATCACCTTCCATAGTGGAAGGAATCTGTCACGGGGTTATTTTTTTTGGAGGAGCAATGGAGATTATATTAGTTGAGGAACTGGCAGAGAGATAGGAGGAAGGAGCCATAGAAATCCTCAGAAAATACATAAAACCTTTGTTCAGAGACTTTTTAAAATATCTATGATAGTTGGTAGCCTGTGGTGCTTCTTTTTTTGTTCTGGTACTGTGGAACATGTTAGGGGGACTATCCATTGCTAATTCCAATAAAAATACTGTCATACTGGTTTATAGAGCATGCTTTGAAAGGCATTCCTCTAATGCTATAATTTTGTTGAAGGAACTAATGTCACTTAGTAATTAGGTAAAGTGCTTTGGAATGAACTCACAAATAATGGGTATGTTTATGTTGAGCTTGAAACTTCATATTTTAAAAATGAAACCAATTTGTAAAACTGTCATTTTCAAATTTTCAGTATATAGAAAATGTAACTGTAGTAATTGTTACACAGTCCCTAAAGATATTAGTGCTTGGGAATCTTCGGGAATCTTACTTGTAAATGAAATATTTTGAATTAATTGCTTTTGATAGTATCTGTGTGAAACTCTATGCCCACATATAAATCACGGAAGGTTATTGCGTTAGTGTGTATCATTGACATTAAAGAAAAATTCTCCTAACTGATGTTTAAAACATTTGGATCAAATAGAAGAGACTGAAATGTTCAGTATGTGATCTTTCTTTGATCAGTGTAATCTGATTTCAGAGATCTGCAGATGGATCAAGTCCAGAAGATGGAGATGGTAAGAGATTTTATTGTAAAATTAAAAGCTGTGAGTGTGTGTCTTGCTGGGATGTTTTGCGCTTTCTCTAATAAAGTTTTTTCTACAGAATCTGATCGAGAGGATGGAAGCTACTGTCCACCTGTAAAACGAGAGAGAACTTCATCTTTGAATCAGTTCCCTCCTTCTCAGTCAGGTAAATGCTGCTATGCTATTATAAATAAAGGGATAGTTTTCCTACCTAGAAATTCTTTTTCCAGTCATGTAGGCAGTCTTATTACTGTCTGTTGTGCTTTGGGTTAAGACCACAGCAGCCATGTATTCATGTTAGCAAATTTGATGAAGCCCAAAGGAGCTTACAGATAGTTTTTAAAAATGTTTTCTATCTGTAAGTTTATGTGTATTTGTAGTTTTACCTTTTACTATTGTGCTGTTAAATTGCAGAATTAACCAGAAATCTTCTTGATTTGCTGTGATTAGGTCGCTTTTTCCAAGTTATATAAGTGCTACCTTTTTCTTAGTTACTCTGCTGCCAGGGAAGTTTTTCAAGTCTCAACTCATGTTTTAGTCCGCTTTTCTCTTCTCCCATTACTTTTAAAATGGGGAGGATTCAGTGCACTTCTTAAGCACCTGACATATGCAAGAGAGAATGACCACAGCCTGTGCACAGTCAGGGCAGTGAATTCACATTCCCTTGCATGGGAATTTGATATTTGTTCACTCACAGGAACAGTCTTGATTTGTGCCATCTCTCCTCACAGATCATATGAAGGTTTTAGCTTTGATAACAGTTATTTCAGTTATGTCAGTGTTTGAGGCAGATTTTGAGACTGCTACTTTATTTCTACTGTCTTATGTTGAAACAAAGAAGATGACATACCATGAGAGAAAGAAGTAAAAAAATGTTCCTCTCCTATGCAGCACAATCTGGAGATGTGACTGAAAGGTGAAAGCCTAGTTGTTTTGATTTTAATTTGAAAGAAATAAATGACTGTGAAATCCAAGATGTAGTTGCTGATACTTTATGGACATACCATTTTAAATTCATGCACCAATGCTAGTCAGGGGATGAAGCTCTTCTCTTTCAGATCCAAATTTTCTGTTGGGCAGCTCAGTGGGTCTCCAGATGTCATCCTGTGAATTGGATGATCAGTGTTGCTGCTATCTGTTTGCTAACCACTCTTAGTAAAGGAATGTGCAAAAATAATGAAGACAGGGTTCTGTAGATTTTTCTGTGAGAATAATAGTATGCGTATAACCAGGTTCCTCATAGTCTCTTAACACTTGCATTCCGCTATGTCTTTGTTGTATAAGATTAGAATCTCTGTGCTTACATCTGTTAGGAAGTGGAGGAAAACAATTTACTCAACTCTTCCTTGGTTAAATACTGGATATTCCAGGAGTCCAGTATCCTTTTTCAAGCCGCTGCTTGGTTAATGAATTTTGAGAGGATGTGGTGATTTATTGACACCTTTCTTCTCATTTGATGTGTGTTGTTCTCAAGCAGTGACAACTTTGATTTGAATTGCAAGTTTCATGAAGACCTTTTTGAATATTGCTGACATTATTCAATGGCTTTGGTTTCCAGAAAATCTTTTACTTTCCCACCTTCTTTTTTTTATTTTTTTTTTTATTTTTAAATTTTTTTTTATTTTTTTGGAGGGATTATGTTTCTCTCAAGAATAGGGAAATTTTGCTTACATGAAAACTGTGTCATGTTTAAGCTTAAGGCAGACAATAGTAAAAAGAGAGAAGGTGGAATTTAAGGAAAAAAGAAAAAAATTTTCAGACTTAATTATAAAAGGCAAATAGCATATTTTTTAGTACAATGGTGTTCAGAGATGAGCTTCTTTTCTCTTTTCAACATACTTGAACTTTTTCTACAGCTGCATAAAAACTAAAAAAGCCAGTATATACTACAATGCTTTACTTCATGCAAAATTATCTGTTAGAGAATCTGTCTCCTTCTGATTGTCCTATTTTATAAACTGGATTATGATTTTTGTATAATACCAAAAGTACTAGAACTGCTGGGCAGGGTGTCAAACAAACTCCCTATTGTTTGCTTCTTTAAGACCCAGAAAAGGGTGGAAAAGAGGTGCTGTCTTTTGCCTGTTTTTTCAAATATTTTTTTCCTTTGGTTGACTATTATCCTGCTGAGGTGACATCTGATGGTACTCTGATGTGCTCTTCTCTGTTTCTGTAGGAGTTTTGTCTTTGCAGGGTAGTTCAAACCTAAGTTGCTTCTTGGTGAAAACAGTGCGGTCCATCAGAGCGCAGGTGTTCATGCCTACTCTCTAGCAGGCATTACACAACTTTCTGCTCTCTCTGCTCAGGGGCCCTTGGAAATGGTATTATACATTTTGCAATGCTATTATATATACTAACGCCACTTCTAATTCCTAATTCAGATACAGTTCAGATTGGGAATCCTGTATTTATACAGGATTCAGAAAAAATGAAATTTTTTCTTTGTCTATTTCAGGAGACACTGAGAGGATTTTATGGGCAATGGCTTGTTTGCTACTTTGGCTGTAATGCTGTTTTAATTTAGAAGAAATAAAACCAAAATAAAACAAATTATTAGAAAAATTACTTCAGTTTGAATTCTGGGAACTGGTTTATAATAAAGAACAACATCCACAACTTCCCTTTTTTTTTCTTTTTCCTTGGCTGCAGTAACAAAGAACAATGTCTTTATGCCATCAAGCTTTTGTGAACCCTCTGCAGGCAATTCTGACTCAGAACCAGGTGAGCTTCCTAATTTTTTTGCATTTTTCTTGAAAAAATATTTCTGTTGTTAATTTGTTGTGATCTAAAGTACTTCAGAAGTAAGACCCTGTCTGTGAGAACAGAAGTGATGATGGTTCTGATCTTAGAGCTGTTCTCTTGCTCACTTTGTTGTTCAACATCACCATTGCTGGAGGTAATTAAAATAATATCAAAGTTGTTGAATGCTTTGGTAGTGATGGTAGAATACTGCCGTATGACCCTTTCCTGCTAGCCTCACAATAAAACCTTTGGAAAAGTTTCATATATCTACTTCAGAAAAGTGTTCTTTTATATTGAAAAGCAAACCAAGCATAAAGCATGGTCATGTGTTCAGCTATGATCTATGAACCCTGTGTTGACAGAACTGCTAATTTTGTTAGTCTCCATCGTTCTGGTTTGGTTGTGTTGGTATCATGCCTGTTCTGCACATCAATATCATATGCTTATAACCAAGCACAGTGAGACTGTAAGATCCTGAGTTGTCTTATTCTGAGTACAGATACTAAGCCCCTAAAAGGCAAACAGTATAATTATTCTTTGTAAGTTGTAAGGAACTCAGTTTTTAAGAGCTGTAGATTTATAATTTTTTTGAGATTTGATATTTAATTTAAAAACCATAACTAGTGAGTGTGAGCAAAGGAGTTTTTTATGTTCATACTACAAAAGCATGAGTAAAAACTTATTACAAGAAACTAACATTAAGCAATTAAGTTTAACTTAGTTTATGATCATTAGCAATTAGATACTTGTTAGCAGCTGTCACATTCAGTCATAATTTTGATTGTTATTTCTTTAGTTTGATTCTCACTTAAAACCTTTATTATCTTTATTAAGTCCTTCACAGAAGGAGTCCCATTTCTCTGGTGAACACAGCCTTTTTCCTGTTTCTTCTGAAAAAAAAATTGAACTTCTTGCTTGCGATACCATGTGTTTCTTTGAGGTGTATATTTGCTGTGATGATCACTGGAAATTCAGGTTTCTTTCAGAAGAAGAGAATTTGTTATTTGTAAAGCTCCTAATAACTTTGCATATTTATAGAACTTTTGGGTTGTTACAGTGGGGAAAACCTGAGCAATTTTATGACTGAATGGCTATTTCTAATATGTTACAGCTCTGTCCTTGTAATTTTGTATTTCATTTCCAGAGGAAAAGAGCAGTGGATTCCGGCTGAAGCCACCAATACTTATCCATGGTCAGGCACCTAGTGCAGGTGAGTTGACTGTTTACTGCGACAGTACAAAGAAACCTGCTCAAGCATTTTATTTAGTTAGTAATTTCATCAATCAGCTGTAGAAGGTGGTAAATAGAAGGTGGCAATACCTATGTGTCTGCAGAAAAAAAATCTTGTCTTCTCTGGGGTGGTTGTGCCCATATCCATTGTGTAATGCATATGGATGCATCCATGTTTTGCATTGGCTCAGCTGTGCATGTTTGAAGCGCATCACCCAGCTGTTGCTGCTTAGCAAGCTTCTGTTTGTGCTTGGAGTTATCTTCCAGACATTGAATTTTATTCCTTTGGTAGCAAACCATAAGAAAAGGGGTGTTCAGCGAGTGCCTTGAGCAAGTTCTGGCCATCACTGAGTGTTTAGTCTGCGACCAGGCCAGGGCAGCTGGAAGTGTCAAGAGAGTGCCCACTTCTTCTCTCCCTGGCTTTTGGTGGCAGTGTAAGTGGCAGGTCCATGATCATGCCTGTTCTGCACTACAGGTTGGCTATGACTGAGTTTCCCGTTTACTGATGTAGACCCAGCCACTATCAGAAAGATGATAGTATTACAAATTTTTAGGAATTTGAGGGGGAAAAAAACAAACCCAAAACTATATAGGTAATGAAAGCTATTATTGCATCACTATGTGGAAACTTCATTTCACTTGAAGGAAGAGTGGTAAATTTAAGAAAGGAACAAGCTGTTTTGAGTTTATGAGTGTTTGAACTTTGGATAGCTTTATAATCTGATGTCATGCCCTTTTAATATGGGTGACCTGAAATGGAACTAATTGCTATGAGTGAGTTCTGTTGCAGTATTTATTGGATCAAGGGTTCTTCTTGACCTATGGCAAGCCCAGAAAACTGAATTTTCTGGGCTTGCCATAACCTTCTAGAGTTGATGTTACAATGTTCGGGGGTTTTTTAATTAGGTTGTTTAAGGTCAATTTGCTTTTTGAATCATAGCAGAATTAGAGTTGTAGGGCTGTGCCTCTTACTGTAACAACCAAAGAGGCCAGTTTAATTCAGAAAGCCAAAAGGTTATTAAATGACGCAACACAATTATTACAGTACCAATATGTTTGATTGATTGCACGGATAAAGAAATATTTTACTACTATCTGGACATTACTTTATTAGAAGGAGAAAAGAAGATTTGTAATGTGTAGTTGAATAAAATGTCAGTGCATAAATAGGTTTACTGGAATTCTCTTACATATTGGCATTTATTTCTGAATTACTTTCTTTCTGTGCTTTCCTGAATAAGGTGGACAATGTATTTTAAAGTGTCTTTTTAGGCTAGGAAATAGTCTTCCCTATTTGGGACTAACTCTCTTTTGAAGCTGAGTAAGGAGGGATGGAAAAGAAGTGAGTAGAAGCTTTTCTAGTTTCTGTTTTTAATTGTGTTCTGTTGGAAGCAGTTAGAGAAGATCAGATGAAGCTGAATTTTCCAAATTTAAAACTTTATACTTCTTGAAAAAACTTTGCGCTTGCAGGTCTCCCTAGCCAGAAACCAAAGGAACAGCAGCGAAGTGTGCTCCGTCCAGCAGTACTACAGGCACCGCAGCCAAAAGCTTTCTCACAGATGGGTAAATGATGCTTTTGCTTTCTAAATACAGTGGAGAGAGAACAAAAACATTGAATTTGGTTAATGTGGTGGCTTGCTTTTACTCAACACCCACCTTGGTTTTTCTAGTTTTCTCCTTTCAGAAAAGAAATATCCTAAATAGTAAGTATATCTGTATTACATGAAGGATAGCATAGTAGAACCTTCACATCTTGGGTAGGGTGGCTGTCTGATGTTGCCAGGCCTCTAACTTTGGTGTAATCCATACTTAAGTTTTGAAATAAAATGACTTCTAAGAGTGTGGTGTAGCAGTGAATCTCAAATGACAGCATTGACCATGGTGTAATAAGCTGTTACTGGTAATTGATCAACAATGACGTACCTAAATCAGTGAGAGGGGCCTCTGGGCTTGGGGACCATTTTGCTGTTGGGGCTTTGAAGTACAAATTTAATTCTGAACATAGAATTTTAATTTTTAAGTTTGGTCATTCATATAATGTTTATTGTATTATGGAATTATGGAATTTGATGTAGCTGATGGAAATAGACATGGTAAAAGTGTGGAAGTTAATGCGAAAAGCTGTTTAAAGTCCCTCTATCCTAAACCCCATGTTTCCCCAGCCTGATGCCGTTTGTTATGTGGAAGTTTAGTTGAACAGAAACAGGAGTAACTTCAGTTAATGCAGAGTCTGGCATAGAACCTAACATTTCTAGCTTGATTTCTTGACATGCCTCCTGACACAGATTGGACTCTACAGAGGACTTAGTATTGGGGTAAAATTTTCAGTATGTGAGCAGGTAGATCAATCTGAAGACAAACCATGCTGGCTGTGAACAGTATTAGATTAGTTGTACATATTGAAGTCTTTACAACATTTGTATAGATTAATTTGCTGACTGGGTTTTCTGCATTTGGAATTTTGATTCTGCTAAGAATTGCTGAATTGTGGTCCTCATGTCTCTTGCAAAGTACTATGGGAAATTTTTAGTTTACATTACAACGTTTAATGGACTTAAACAAGAAAACTACATTCTATTTGCATAAGAAAAATTTTATGACAGTCTAAATATCTAGAGAGTTCACGTGTATTTTTTTGGGTTTTTGTTTCTGTGTTACAGTTCTCAGCAGTGGCACCAATGGTGTAAATATCCCTCCAGATTCTGCAGCCACATCAGAATCACCAAGTGATGCAACATTGAAAAGTTCAGACTCTGAAGACAAGGTAAGTTGGAGAAGGAGACTCAAGGTGACAGACATAAATATTTTAGGAAATAAAGCTGGAAAGAAAAGACAGACAAGGATAGGTTCCACTATGCTAAAAGAAACTGTGTGAATGCAGAGGCTTTGTTTTGGGAAGGCACTGAATTGGTCAAGGCTTTATAGATAAAGATCAGAGGGGAAGCCAGCAAGAGGGAGATCAAAGTGAACCTTCACCAGGCTTCAGGTTGTTTATTGAGCTGGTTGGTAGGATTCTGAAGGACAGCAGAGCTCATGAGAGCTCATTACCTGCATGGACAAACATGAGAATGAATAACGTATCCCAAAGCGCTTGAAACTGTGCAAGTTTGGGAGGAGGCCAGCATGTATGGGCTTGGGAGCTCCTTAAATCCAGAAAGAGAATGTGTATGTATCTTGTGAAAGCAGTCAAGACACCTGAGAAGTATACAGAAGGATTGCCTGGATGTGTGGGAGAACTGGGAGAGCCTAAATTTGGCTGGAATTGGGAATTACGGAGAATGAAAAGCTGCAAGCAAGGCTTCCAGTGGTAATGGCAGCAGAGGTAAAATGAAGGAAAATCGTAGGCCTTCTGCAAAATGTTAAAGGGAACCTAGTGGTGAAAAAAAAAAGAAAAATCTGAGGTACTCAATGCCTTTGTCTTGTTTTCTACTGAAGAGGTCTGCTGTCAGGTCTACCAAATCCTCTTTTTAGGGGAAGCTTTACAGAGCAAATCATTACACTAAATTTGATTAAGGACTGTTTTAGACAATTTGACATACACTGGTCCATAGGACCAGACAGGATGTATCCATGGGTGCAGAGGGAGGAGTCATGGTTTAACCCCAGCTGGCGGCCAAGTACCATGGAGTTACTTCTTCACTCCCTCTACTCAGCTGGGATAGGGAGAAGAATCAGGAAAAAAGTAAAGCTAGTGGATTGAGATAAGAATAGTTATTTAAGTGTTGAAACAGAGTTAAGTATAATAACAATAATAATTGTAATGAAAAGGGGAGAGAGACAGATAAAACACAAAGAAAAGAAGTGATGTCCAGTGTAGGTGCTCAGCACTCGCTATCTGTGCCCAGCTTGTCTCCCAGCAGCCATCAGCCCCTCACCAGCAGCTCCCCCAGTTTACACACTGGGCAGGATGTTTTATTGTGTGGAATATCTGAATGGCCAGTTCGGGTCAGCTGTCCTGGCTGTGCTCCCCTCCCCCCGCCCAGCTTCTTGTGCAACTCCTTGCGGGCAGAGCATGAGACACAGAGAAGTCCTTGACTTGGGGTGAGCACAACTGTGCCACAACCAAAATACCAGTGTGTGATGAAGATTATTCTCATCCTGGATCCAAAATACAGTGTTGTGCCAGTGTTGTACTGGGAAGAACATGAGCTCAGGACAGGGAGCTGAGGGGTGCTTGTGTGAGACCACTAGCTGTCCTCAGAGAGTTGTGGTACTGTGGTGGGTCCCAGTTACTTGGAAAGAAGAAAGCATGGCACACCTTTCCACAAATGGCAAGAAAGAAGTTCCAAGAAAGTAGAAATGGCTCATCTCCTTCCTCTCCCTTTCTAGTGAAGGAGTCCTAGGATTTGAGGCACCTTAAAGGGATTGAGAACAGCCAGCATGGATAAAACAGAGACCAACCTGATGAGTTTTTATCCTCTGAGATTATTTGCTTTTCAGAGAGCCCTACTTGTTGATTTTGACTTTAGGCAAAAATCTCTGTATGGTCTGAAGTATCATTGTCGTGGCCAATATGGAGAGAGCTGTACTGCTTGAGTGGAATTTATAAATGGGTGATAAATTGGCTGAAGCAGTGAGCTTTGAGGATAGCAGCCAGTGATTGGAAGTCTGACAAGTGTCAATCACTAGAGGCATTCCTAAGGACTGTTCAACATATACAGAAACAACCTGGCAAGGTGGAATAAATCTTGTTATGTTTGTGGATACTACTATACTGTGGGAAGGAGAAAGCAGTTTTAGTAAAGCAGCCCGTAAGTCCTCTTAATCAATAAAAGGATACACTACTTATTCATGTTCAATCTATTGTTCATCACTTCTGCACAGCACCTGAAGGTTCTTGAGCTTTTTGTTCTCCCAAGGACTTTCTATTCTGCACCTCTGCCACCTGCTTTCCACAAGTGGCTTTGTGACTTCTCCCTGCACACGCTGTGGTGGCACATTTCCTGATTATTCCCATACCATAGTTCTTGTTCCACTATACTCAGAGCCTTTCACTTACAAAACTCTAAAGTAGTGTTGGAAAACAATTGCAACCTGCATGGGAATCACTCCTTCCTGCTTCTGTCCTAACTTCCTACTCCATAGCTTTTAACACTGATGGGAGGACCCAACGCTATGCACACACAAAGCCTCAGGAGTGACCCGCATACAGCAGTTGCCTCTCAGCAAGGCACACTTCCATCAGCATCAACAGCACCATAAGTAGAAAAAAACCCAAAACCCCAGGAAGTCTGAGCATATAACAAAGAAAACTATATAGTTACTATGGGAATTTGGTTATTAGGGAGTACCACCTGCTCCACTGGAGAGGACACTCAGGGGGAAGATGCCTGTCTAGGGAACTCATTACTAGTTTTTATGGCTGGCCAAAGTGAAGTTTTTCTTTTTCCTTCCCTTTTTGATCTCCCTTCTTCCAAAATAAAATGACTCTCACCCTTAGAAGCAATACTATCAGCTATAGATCTGCTAATAAATTCTGTATGTGCGAACTTGTCTCAACATTTTTCATGCAGTATCAGGATCTCAAAGACTTGTCTGCACAGCTCCTTTCTAGACAGTCCCTCTTCAGTCCTTGTGACACATGGGTTCTTTCACTTCAGATACAGAACTTTGCATTTGCTAACCGTCAGCTAGTTTTTCTCAGCTTGTTTTTCCAACCTGCTGAGATCCTGCTGAAGAGCCCCTGCCTTCCAACATACTGACCATTAGGCTTAGGAAGTGATCTTTCTCTTTTAGTGCCACTGGCAGATGGCATCAGGAATACCATATGTAGTTTGGGGCTTGACACTACATGAAAAACACTTAAAAATCACTCAAGTGACTAGTGACTGGAGCACAAGAGGAGTGATGAGAGAATGAAAAAGCTGAGTATGTTCTGCTTGGACTAGGACAGGTGAATTGGAGAGAGCTCTCAGGTCTCAAGTGATAGGTGATGGCAAGATGAGAATAAAATAAGGAAGTGTCTATTAAACAGGTGAGAAGCTGCAGATGTGGTGTGAAGGGGATTTCAGGTGGGTTTTAGGACATAACTGTCTTACTTAGTGTAGTTGAACATTGAACTGAATTGTTCAAACCGAAAATCGCAGACAAAGACTCTCTAACTAATTAAAGTTTGAAAGTAGTATGTTTATTACGCCGGCGGGTGGCACGGGGTGGGGGGGTTGTCCCCGAAATGCATGACCACATCACACAAGGATTTTTGCCTTCTATTTATTTCCCAAAATAATACATATGCATAACCCCAGCACCTGCCATTCCTGCTTTGTATTAAAATGAGATTATTAGTCCTACAGTTCTTCTCTTGAATTGGGTTGGTGGTCTTGAACTGGGTCAGTGGTCCCAGGAATGAAGTCAGGAAGGTCTTTGTCAGGTCTCTGTGACCCTCTGGCATGATCCACGGCCCCCTGCTTCATGATGGATTGACATAGAGTCCAGGTGCTGGGCATTGTTCTGCTGGTTTCAGTATGTTCCTATAATCATTCACTTGCTCCACTTCCTTCTACACGTGAGATTATTTGTAATATAACAATTAGCTTTAGCTTAAGCATCTAATAATTATTAACCTATTGTTGGTGTATCTAACTTCAATATGAATTGGCTCTAACCCTTAGCTAAAATCTTAAACCTTTAAAATCGTGATTCAGAGCCAGACTACCAAAATGTAAAACTGTCACGTGGATTGTTTTTGAAACTTGATACGAGATCTTGGGCAGCTTAAAAGAATTTTGAACTTGGTGCTGCTTTGAACAGAGTTTGGACCAGGTGCTCGTTAGAAATTCCTTTGAACCTTAACTATTCTGTGATTTGCTAAGAAAAACACTTAACAGCAGAGACATTTAAATGCAAAACATCCCTTGTGGATCTGAAAGTGTTATTGGCTTGTCATTGTAAATGAATGTGTGACTCACCTTGTCATAAGGTGTTTTTATTTAAAGAAACTCAACTTCTTTGGCTACCTTTTTCCATTTCTTTAGACAGCAGAATGTCAGAAAAAGGAATCCAACAATACTTCAGATGATGACTGCTCTGAGAAGGTTGAACTAAATGCACAGCAAGCATTCGTTTTTGGGCAAAATTTACGAGATAGAGTTAAGGTAAACACATGTTTGTTCTCTTGACTAAGAGTTTATGAATATATGTAAAACTAAGAACTATGAACACAGCAGAGTTGTCTGTTTAATAAAACTAGTCTTCTGGACATTTAATAAATGAATTCTGTTAAGTAACATAAGTTTTTTTGAAAAAATTGCATCTACTGCAATCATGAGTAACAGCTAAAGCTCAGTAGAATGTGGTGTTTTCTTTTACTTTTTGGGTTAGAATGAAGTTGAAATGTGGTCCTAAGCTGTTCCCGTGCTACCAAGACTTCAAAGAAAAGATGGAAAAATAGGCTGAGCTTGGGCTTAAACTTGTGCGTAGAATAACTGACCTGGATTGTTAGTACCTCCTCTTGAAGACAGGTTAGCTCAGGTTTCCTTGCATGCTGAAAGAAAGTGTAATATTAGGACATATCTTGTTTTATTGTAGAAAGCATTTGTGGATGAACTTTGTCTTTAGGTAGAGTGAGTTGAAAATTTCGTAATTAAAATTATTGATATATACTTGTTCTTTTTCTAGCTAGGAGATGAAAGCAATGAAACTGCCGATGTGCAGAATGCTGGCCTTCTGACATCAGATATACCTTCTGCAACAAACTATTTTCTACAGTACATCAGTTCCAGGTGAGACTACAGGGAAACCAATGTAACAGTTCTCCTTACTCTTTATTTTCCTTATTGAAAATTTGGTATAATTCTGCTCTTTATTGGATGCAGGGCTTAGACTGGGTCAGTGGGAACCTAGACTTCTGAAGAATGAGATGGCAATCTAAAGATCTGGGGGAATCCTCAATCATCTCTTCAAGGGAGATGCATTTGATATTATTTATTTGACCACATTCTCACCAACACCTCTTCAAAAAACCAAAAAGCATGACATGAGAGGCATGAAACCAAAAAGCATGACATTCTTCTCATGAATGATCAGAAACAGAGATCTGCACTGTATTTGTGTTGTTCAGTAGGTTTCATATAAGATACAGATAAAAGGAAGAATAGTTAAATTTTTTCCATTATAGTAACCTTTTCAGAGTGGCCTGTATGAATAAGTAGGAGCCTAACTGTGGGAGGTTTTTGAGAGAACTTCTAAAGAATAACAATAACATCAGTAACATCAGAAGAAACGTGATGTATAGGTAAAGCAAGGCAGCCAGGAGAAAACTGCTAATCCTGTCTTATGTAGCAATGACCTCTGAGCTGACAGCCTTCACTTGAGGCTAAGGTAGTGATACATGAAATCTGTATCTCTGTGAAGATGCTGGCTTAGTAGTGGTCAAAAAATTTAAGTAGTGTAAAGAATAAGAAAGCAGAAGATGCAGAGCTGTGAATTCATGGAAAAATGTGAGGGGAAATCCCACCAAGAGTGATGAAGCAGAGCAACATCTCTGCTCCTGGCATAAGCTGAAATTCAGATTGAGGCAAGGAATTAATTGTAGGAAAAGCACCAATACGTGCTTTCTTTGTCTTTATATTTGGCATTTTTAAGATCCTGTTGTTCACCATGAAGGAGGCAGTAGGCTGTTTTGCAGTCAATGAACTTTCGATGCTGAACTTTTCAGATGTTGTACTGGAGAGGTAGAGAACACCTTTGCCCTCTTGATGCCAGATCAGTGTCTTTCCAATAGACACAGTTAGACTTAATCAATCAGATTTGGCAGACAATAACTACTAATATGTGGCCTTCAAATACCAGAATATTTTCTCGCATTTTTCAACTCATGTGACACCTACTGTCATTTTATTTGAGTCTTTACTTTGGGAAGATTTATTCTTGGTGAGTCAATTGCGAGAAACCTAGGTTTGAACTTCTCTTAAAAACAATATTGTCTCTAAGGGGAGCTGGGTCTGGTTTTCTGATGAGATGGCAAAGCATTATGGTAATCAACTTGTAAAAGGAAACTCCTCCCTTTGTGTAACACTGTAAATTCTTTAAAAACTGTAAATGTGCTAGGTGGCATGGCAGATATTAGTAGGCCACATTGAGTTCCCTGTCAACATTTGGAGTTCAGAACTGTGGTATTTAATTCCCTTAGGAGGTAAAATTATCTTCTACTGAGGATCTTCTTTGTTCTAGGAATCTCTTTAATCAGAAGTAGCAACTCTACGTGTACAATTTAAAGGTTTGTTTGGTTTCACTTGAATCATGTAGATGCGAGTCCCCATTTTCTAAACTTGGTGAAATGCACGTAGGCTTGATTGGAATGGTCTGCTTTTGTATGTTCACTCTGTGAGCAAGCTGGTGTCTTAATAAGGTCTGCCTGATGGGAAGGGACAGGAACAATGACTTTTAAAGTCTTTTGTCTGTAAAAGAATAAAACTCCTGTCCTTCCTAAATAGGATTTAAAATCTGTTAATATAAATACTGATGGGAGGAAGATGTTTATTCTGTAAGGAAGAAGTAAAGGCTGATATTTGATTGTGAAACTTCTTGGAGAGTCTGTGGTGTTGCAGCTAGTCTGATAAAAGGCATTACTTATCCCTGCTGCCTTTGCTTCAGTTATGATCTTGCAAATGCTTTTGTTTTTGTTTGTTCAGTTTCCGAAAAAATTGACCTAAAGGTGTATAATAGTTCAAATCTGTACATGTAGAATACAGTTTAAAAAAATTAAAAACAGTTTAAAAAAAAGTATGTTACATGATTAGACAATAAGCCCTCAGCATTCAGCATTGCTTTGTATGTTAGTAGTTATCTGAAGGAGACGATTTTGACAGAGAAAAAATAATTTGTTGTCATTCTGAGAGAATTCTTGTTCTGTAAAACTAGAATGTGCTCTCATGTTAGGTTGGATTAATTTTTACCTAGGTTTGTGTGCTTACTTTCTTAAAGACAGTGACAATCACTCACTTTCTGAGAAATTTTATTAGTAGAAAATAAAAAAGATATTATTTTCTATCTTGTAAAACCTGGCTTGTTTCTTGGGTTTTTTTCAGTGTAGAGAACTCTACGAACAGTGCAGATGCATCTAGCAACAAGTTTGTTTTTGGACAGAACATGAGTGAGCGAGTCCTAGTGAGTATCCACCATGTATATGTTGTAATTTTGCCAGCAGTTTGTTATGGATTCTCACTCAGGAATTTTGAGAGCCTTTAATTATACTTCTCACTTGATTGTGGCGTTTTTTCAGTCATTTCATTTGAAGGTAACTTACTTTGAGTGCAGCACGGGAAGTTCATTATAAGCTATTGTCTGCCCAGCAATAGTTTCCAGGGTTTCCCTTTCAAGCTCTCAGTGTAAGGAGATTCAGTGCCCTCTCTGTAGTGCACATGGTTCTTGTGCCCAAGCATTTTATGACACAGCTCCTTGCTTTAAAATGGCTATTGGAGTATAAGTATTAGAAGGTATTTTACGTTTGTCCTCAAAATTCAGAGCAGTTCAGTAATGTGACTCCCCCCAGATGGGATTTCAAGCCCAGCATTAAAGCAGCTGCCTCAGGACTGGGGTATGATTCTGGAGATGCTGTTCATGATGTACCAACCTAAGGAATAACTTCTAGTACCTCATTGTTTCTTGCTGTTGTTTATATTCCTGTGCTGCAGCACACTCCATTCAGTTCCTTGGCTAAGATAGTAGGATAGTTTTGACTGTGAAAGCATGTTGTCCATGAGATTATTTTTTTTTGCCATATGGTTTATAAATACTGGAGCTACCCTCAGTACTTGATCACTAGTCCTGTTTAGCAGGATTAGTGTATGTTTTCTCCCTTCTGTTCACCTCCTCTTTATTTCTGTGATAGAGCCCACCAAAATCAAATGAAGGTAGTACAGAGAGTAATAAGGAGAATGCTGCTACAGAGTCTGGGTCTGAATCGTCTTCTCAGGAGGCCACGCCAGAAAAAGGTGAAAACCAAAATATTATATTAGGAATGGTAGTTAATCCGTTTTTAAATTACTGTATTTTTCAATATTGTGTTACTTTTCAAAAACATAAGATTTTTATGTTGCCTTTACTGTCTCCTGTAACCAAAGATACAGGCTGGGTGTGGAAGTTGCTGGATGCTGTAGATCCTCTAATAGTAAACATGTGCAGGCTGCACTTTCTTTTTCATTCTCAGTCTGTGGTTGTGGGAGTATCTGCAATGGAATAAAATTAGAGGGAATTAACAGAACTGTTAGTAGGACTTGGTAGAGAACGTAGGAGAAATGTAGCAAACTTTTTTTAACAATTCTATTTCATTTCAAGTGACTGAATTCCAGAGTCAAATGTATGTTGCATTGAGTGGGTGCCCCACATGTTGCTTGAACTCAGAACTGGTTGCTGGATTCTATGACTTCAAATTGTCAAGATATTACAGAAATTCTGGGAACCATGGGTTTTCTTCAGTAAACTGCTTGCAAGCCCAAATGGAAGGAGAAAATTAAGTGCACTGTCCATGTGTAGGCATAGCTGTATGGCTAGCAAGAGTATCAGTACTGCTGGAGCATCTACAGATAAGGAAGTGTCCATGCAAAGGTTTTGAACTATTGCATGTATGGATAAAACTTCTTGAGAATGTCTGTTTTGTTCCTTATGCTTGTAAAACAAGTATTAAAAGACAAGCTTTAACTTCTGCTTTAAATTTCAGTAATTTTTAATGTGTTCTATTAAAGTCTGTTTTCTGTACATTTCAAAGGGTCTCAAAATTCTCGTGTACTTGTGTGAGACTTTTATATATCTTACAAAATTTTATGATAATCATTCTCAGACTCTCAAAATGTTGTTCAGCTAATAATATTTCAGAATCACTGGCAGAGTCTGCAGCAGCCTATACTAAAGCAACAGCAAGGAAGTGTTTATTAGCGAAGGTAGAAGTGATTACTGGGGAGGAAGCTGAAAGTAACGTGTTACAGGTAAGAAACGGATAGAGGAGCTTTGAGTTTGTGGGGATTCATATGGATGTCTGTCACAGTAACAAGTCCACAGATAGGTTGGATTTAAATCTACACAGAGGATCCTCAGCCAACCCTGTCCAGGCTTAGATGCAAGCACACCACTGGCCAGAGATCTGGGCAGAGAGAGATCCCAACCAATCAGCTGTTTACACCAGGAAGTTTCAAGCCCCCTATATCAGCAGGCCAGCATAATAAACCATTGCTGTTGTTGCCTGGATCTCTGAGAGTTTGTGTCATCTCTGTCTCTGACCCCACGTAACAGATGTCCAGTGAATGCACACCATCTGATTCCCTACAATTCAGCCTTCCTCTATATCTCTAATGTATTTTCTTGTGTTAAAATGCAAATTTTAGATATTTATATCAGATCCTTATTTATTAACTTGTTATCCATTGTTTTTTAATTTCCTCTTTATGAATAAATTTTAGCATATAGGCCATCCAGGTGTATCTTAAGCATACTTTCCTGAATCCATCACATAGAAGCTTCTATTTTTTGTGAGACAATTATTTGAAGAAAATTTAAATTAATTAAATATTTTAAGTTCTTTAATTGTTGTACTACTGAAGATTTTCTAAAATTTGGAATGGACTATTTATGCCAGCAGTCTAGTTCCTTGCGAAATAGAAACTGTATCACAAACACTCAGGAATTTGATTTAAGAAACTTAATTGAATTAGTGATGTTGTAGAAGGATATTTGGTCATGACTTAGACTGCTGATTTTAATAGAGATACATTTAACATTGTAGTTATTAATTAACTTTAATATACTTACTAACTGTAGTGTATCCTTAAGAAAAACATGCAGGGTTTTCATATAAAATGAAGTGGTGTATGTATTTTTTCCCATCTCTCTTTGTACTCCAATTATAATTTAGTTTTTTTCCTTGAGATATTGTGTTTCTCAGCATTTGAATTGTGTTATTTTCAAGGATAACTTTTTTATTCTTACAGACACAATGCCCTATTCTTCTGAGACCAAACAGTTGCACTGTCAGTATCTAATGCCTATCAGTTACACTTGTATTACCTTAAAAATAGTACTCTATAATGTTTGCCTTCTTGGACTTCTTCTTACCAGACATAAATGGTCTTTAAATGTTCTTCTGGTACATCTCTGTTTCTCTTTAATTCAGAAATGTCTGGGTGCTTCACGTAATTGAACAAGACACTGAAAAGATAAGAATCCTGTTTCACTTAGAAAAACTACAACTTTTGGCAGTTGCATACTTAGTAGAGGACTGACTTGCCTGAATATGTTGTAATTTAACAGATCTCTTGCTTAACTTTAATTCTTTTTTTCTTATGAAATGTAATGCATTAAAATTCCAAATGGGACTTGTACAGACAGAACTATGTTAATGTTGCAGAAACATACAGAGCTAGATGTTTTGGCGTGAAGAAGATGAGAAATGAAAGGAAGGAAAATGGAAGTATCTTTTCCACTTAGTGCATGCTCATCTGTGGGGAGCTTGAGGAGTGATGGTTTGAGGTATAAAGCCTCAGCAGTAACAGTAAAATTGGATTAGAGGGGGTGATATAGAGATGTTTGGCATGGAAGAAAAAGGGAGCTTGTAGGTCAAGATCCTTCAGTATTCCTACTGTTGGAAAAAATACATAGACCTTTTGAATTTTATAACGTCTGAACCCTCAGTTAATAACCTCAGTTATTAATGACTTTGTGTTGTTCAGGCTTTGATAATGAATCGATAATGAGCTAGCATGTTTGTCCATCCTTTGCTTCCTTACAGGAAGAATTTTGCTTTGCTTTCATTATATTTACTGAGTCTTCCAGCAACATATTCAGTGGTGCAGTGTGTACCTAAGGCTTTTAAAAGAATTAACTGATATAAGGCAGTCTCCTATGACATTAAGTTTCCTCTGTGAAAATTTATATATTACCTGAAAATTACTTGTTGTTTTGATCTTGAACCCTCTTATTCTTTAAGAATACATAGCCTCTTTTAGTAAAACTTGATGAAAACAGCATATTTTGAGAAATTTATTGCAAAAGAGAGGATGACTGTTTTGATTTCCACAGCTATAAACAATTAAAAATTCCAGTATGAAATCTGAATATTTTTTACTCAACTGTAGGTGACTAAGAAATATATTATTACTTCAATCAACCACTATGCCATAGACATATTTTCTGTTACAGATTCAGTGCAAGCTGTTTGTATTTGATAAAAGCTCTCAGTCTTGGGTGGAAAGAGGTCGAGGACTCCTGAGACTCAATGATATGGCCTCAACAGATGATGGAACATTACAGTCTCGGCTGGGTAAGAGGAACCAGGGGAAATGAGATACTGGATGACAGTCATCCTATTTTTATAAGGTTCTTCCTTGACACACAGCAACATTCACTTAAGTTTCTGTTAGCTCCAGGAACTCAGAAGCAGTTTGGACCTTTTCTTTTGCTTCAGTTAGTGAATACTGCCTCCAAAGAGAGTATCTTCATACCCGTCTGTTGCAGCAGATGTTCCAGTTATTTTTTCCCCAATAAAAGCAAGCCATATTTAGTAACTAGAATATTTGCCTAGAAATTTATGGTAACATCATTCAGATCTGGCTGTTTTGGATGGGTTGCTTGTGATGAGGGAAGTCTGTTTGAATAGTGCACAATTGTTCAGGCTGGCAGGAATGTGCATTAGCCTGAGATTATCTGCTCAGATACCACTGCTGAACTTTAATGCATTAACATATAAGACTTCAGACTAAATAGCTTTAGATATGACTCATAATCTTCAATAGCCTTGTTGCAGTTTAAGCCCAGCCAGCAGCCAAGCCTCTTGCAGCCACTTACTCACTCTTTCCAGCAGGATCAGGGAGAGAACTGGAAGTGTATAGAAGTTAGAAAACTCCTGGGTTGAGATAAAGGCAGTTCAAAAAAGAAAGCAAAAGCAGTGCATGCAGTTTGCAAACAAAGCAAAACAAATTAATTCACTGCTTCCTGTGGGCAAGCCGGTGTTCATCCATCTCCAGGGCAGCAGGACCCCATCATGTGTAATGGTGACTTGGGAGGAGAAACACCATCACTCCAAACATCCTCCCTTCCTCCTCTTCCCCCTGCTTTATATCCTGAGCATGGTGTTTGGTGGTCTGGAATATCCCTTTAGTTAGTTTGGGTCACTTGTCCCAGCTGTGCCTGCTCATAACCTCGCACCTACCTGTCACAGCTGATATGTAGCTGGACTGATAAATCTGGCCATAAACAGAGATTCAATTCAGCTTGACTGGTTGGTTAGAGAAAAGAAATCCCTAGGTGAGCAGCGATAGGATAGATTTGAACTCAAACAGAAAATCCCAGCCAGTGCCATTCAATCCTGAATGCAGACATATAATTGGTCAGGGAGCTGGGCAGTGCAGAGATCCCGACCAATCCGTTGTCCAAGCATGGGAGCCCCCTGTGAGAGGGGACGCCGAACAATAAACCGAGCTATTTGTCACATGATCATCAGTAATTTCTGTTGTACCTGTCTCCAACCTATGAGCATAATGTGTTAAATACTCCCATCCTCCGCATCAGTGTAGTAGTATGAAAAGCAGAAAAGACCTTAGGTCTGTGCAAGCACTGCTCAGCAATAACAAAAATACCTCTATAATATCAACTGTATGTTCAGCACAAACCCAAAATAAAGCTCCATACCAGTGATTGGAAAGAAAGTTAACTCTACCCCATCCAAAACCCACACAAAGCCTACATGCTCCTCATTTACAGTTGTGACAAAAGCCTAGGAGGGCTTATTTGTAAAAAGACTGAAACCTTTGTACAGTAATAAGTGTCTTGGCTGTTTTGAACTTCCTGATGTGTCTTTTTCCACCTAACTGATCTTCTAACTTGACTTTAGTGATGAGGACTCAGGGGAGTCTCAGGTTAATCTTAAATACCAAGCTCTGGGCTCAGATGCAGATTGATAAAGCCAGTGAGAAGAGTATCCGGATCACCGCCATGGATACAGAGGACCAAGGAGTTAAAGTTTTTCTTATATCAGTGAGTACTGTTTATGTCTTAACCATCATACTAAAGTTGGTGCTCACTTAAACTGTAGCTGAGGTAGCATTCCTTTTTTGTTTGCACCCTACACTGTCTTAACATCACCCTTGCCCCAAAGACAAGACACTTGGTAGATTTGCTTGTCTAGAAAGTCTTGCAGGCTGTGAACAAATGCCACATCAAAGGCTGCCCTAGGAAGCCATGTTGTTCAAAGCATTGCCCATGGAGTCATGGGGATCTGCTTTGCACATACTGAGACTCTAGTGTTTCATGCAGATTCTTTTCTGATTTAAAAAAAAATTGGCATTATTTAATAGATTTTATGCAGTAGTTTAACTAAAATTAGATCTAGTGGAACTTTCAGCACAGGAAAACTCTCATTGTCTGCATTGTGGGAGGATGAATAGGTGCCCACTGAAAAGGAAACACTAAAGAACATCATATTAGTACTTAAGGTTTACACATTTAAACTTTGATTTTCCTTTGATGCAGTGTATTAAAGCAGTAACAGGATAGTGAAAGTCGTTTCTGTGCTTACTAAATAGGGAACAGCAGTCGCAATCTGAATTACTAAAACACTTGAGCTCTGGTCGTACAGTCAGCATGGGAGAAAGGTCATTCCCTAATGCCTGCTAAAGCACCAACATATTTGGAGGTCTGAGAACATTCTTTTGATTTAGACTGATTTTACACAAGATGCAAGAGAGCAAGTGTCTTGCAAAAGAATTAGTGTTCCTAGGGATCAGAAATTGAAAGCATCAGCAAATGGTCAGCTTTCTCTGTGACATTAGGTTTGTAGGCCTGGGATCTGGAGTCCCAGAATTGAACTTAATGATACCAAATATGCATTGATGAAGAAAAGGAAATTAAATTATTGGATAAGTTTTTCTCCATATTTTTCTAGTTTTGAAAGTTTTGAGTTTCTGTCATCAGGTTACTCACTCTTGATTTTAGTATTGATAGAAAGTATCGTGTTTGGAATTACTTTTTGATTTCAGTTTATTTCAGGGGAATTTTCAGATACAGAATAGACACATTCAAGTGTCATGTGGGGTGGATGGAAACTATTTTTTATTAAAGAATTTGGGGAAACTATTTCTTATGAAAGAATTTGACAGGTTGTCAAAAGTGCTTCCCTCTGAAACAGAGACTGTTCAAAAATTTTTGAGTAATTGCCTGTCTGTTCATTGAGTTTTCTCATTATATCTCATATTGATATTTTATGCCAGTTCCTCATGAAACAGTTGGCTTAATTATGATTTACTAATGTGTGAAGTTTAATTATTGACAGGCCAGCAAAAATCTGCAAGATTTTAATTGAAGGTCTTCTTAATATGAGCTTTTGGGAGCTGTTAGGAAAGCTATGTGATTTCTGTATGAAGAAGGCTATTATGAGATTAGCAAATACTGGGTATGTCATCCAAAGAAAGTTGGAACTAAGCAGAGGAATATACTCTCACCACCAGAGTTCTGTATATCTAATGTCCTGCTGCATGTAGCACAGCCCATTCTGACTGGTTTGAAAAACACTTTATGAGAAAACTAAAAAGTATATTGTGAAATTTGGCATGACTGCTGTGTATTATGTCAGCAGTGTTTTATTGTGTTATAATTCCATGCACCTTTTTCTTATTTCTGAATATTAAAAAATGCAGGCAAGCTCTAAAGATACAGGGCAGTTGTATGCTGCATTGCACCATCGGATCTTGGCCTTGCGCAGTAGAGTGGAACAAGAGCAAGAAGTCAAGAATGTAGCCCCTGAGCCAGAGGTAACGCAGTCAAATGAGGAAGACAGTGATGATGATGATGTCATTGCGCCTTCAGGATCAGTTGGAAGTGGTAAGTAGGAAAGACAATGGTGTTTCCTGTTTACCATGCATTTTTCTGTGTCATTTCTTAAGGCAGTCTGTGCTCTTTGTATATGTCTATGGAGTAGGACTATTGCATGGCTTTCCTTTTTGAGCACAACTACTCCTTGCTTCTTCTCCAAACTGGTAAAAGGCCCCTGTGCTGCCTGTGAGTTATATGCCACAGTTTAGCAGAGGTTTTCTGTGCTTTTTATCATTTACAGGATTTCTAAGTGTAGTTCTGAGTTTTATTTTTACCTTAATCATGGCCAGGAGTTGCACATGAAACCTGAGTTGACTCAGAATCAGTAGACAGCATCCAGAATGACCTTTCAGTAGGGAGCTGTTTGGAAAGCAGAAGGTTTACAAAGGGGCATGGAAGGAGTGTAATGCTTTTTATTGTGCATGAGGAGATCATAATTTAAGAAAAATACTAGTCTTCAGTTTGAGGAAGGCTTCCTTTTGTACTCTCAACTTGGAAGTCATTTGTGCTTTGCTTTCTTGTGGCTGAGAGCATAGAGCCTTTGACAGTCCTCCATCCTGATTCACAGAAGGGGAAAAAGGGAGGAATGAATATGAACAAAAGCAGTGGGAAGATTGAAGAGCTTGGAAACTGAGCTTTTAGGTTTTTGGATGCGGCTGGGATTCCTGAACTAGATTAGTCAAGAACATAAAGTTCTACAGTAGACAGATCTTAGTCTGGAGAAGGCCATATGCAAGGTGGGAGAGGAGGAATTCTACAGTTTTCATCTCTCATTGAACACCTGAATCTGAGACTTACGTAGGCTACTTGGGATGAGTCTCTTACTGCAAGGCAAGAAACAAAAGATATTTCTTATGACCAAGAACTACTTTTATTGTTTCAGGTCCTAATGATGAAGGTGATGGGCAGAACGTTGGCAGCACATAGCAGATGTGAGCCAATCTGCTTGCAAGGCTGCTGTGAACACCATCTTGCAGGCATCTCTGGATACCCCAGGCCAGCAATTCTTTCAGGCGGTTTAGAAAGCTCCAGGACTTAAGAACTGTGCATCTCTGTTCTGTTTGTTTGGGTTTTTGGTCTGGATCAGTAGATTCCACACAAAAAATAGCAGACTTGGAAACTACCTGAATGTGGTTTGGGACGTTGAAAGCTCATCATATTGATGAGCAAAAAAAAAAAAAAAAATCCAACCCCAAAACAACATAAACACAAAATGCAACCACCCCCAACCATTTCCCCTCTTCCTTGTAATTAAAATGGCACATTACAGCTTGTCACAGCTTTTCATTGGGACCTTTTGGCTGTTTCTTCAATAGTTCATGTCTTGCAGGTCTCCAAGATAGAACTTTTTGACATGGTTCCAACTTGAATTCTGCTTTTATAACCCCTACTCCCCTTTACGCAGGGAAACCCGGTCCTCACTAGCTCCTATGCTCACTGGCTGCCCTTTTGGGTTCATTTGTTCTTTTTGGACTTTAGATGGGGCAGGTTATGTTTTTACCATTTAATCCCAGCATAGGTTGTGGATGTGGACACCATTGTTTGCTGTCTAGTGGGTTTGTAAACAGAAAGAAACAAAACATTGTGGTTCACCAGAAAAGCTTTTTTAATGCGATAAGAGACTTTAAAGTCTGCAGGACGTTCTGCTAACTCCTTTTTTCTTCCCATTTCATTATTATTTGGGGATTTATATTGTGGTGAGACTTTTTTATTTTAGTTTTTCAATAAGATGCTCTTGTGTGTTAAAAAAGTGAAACTATTGTTTTGTACTGTTCTTTTCTGTTACTATTTAAGGGAGAACTAAGCCACTATATATAATAGATGTTGCATACAATTTTTCTTAAAAAATTTTGTTTCTGTGGCTACAGTAAAGTGCAGGAGGCATACAGGTTACACCTTCAGAAAAGTTAATGACAAAACAGCTGTTAGCCCTTGGAAGACTAAAATAGGCTCATGTAATGAGCTCTGCCAGCCATTAAAATAAATCTGTATAATAAAGCAGCTCTCATTTAATGGCTTGATTCAACAAGCCATTTAAGCACTTGCGTGACTTAACTGTATGTGAATAATCTTACTGAAGTCAATGCAACTCTTCATGCTTAAAGTTGAGGACATTTTTTTTAAATCTTGCTGAATTAATGGCCTTAAATAGAAAATTTAACTTCTAAACCCTTCCTGTCCCTGATCCATTTCCTGAAGTCTTGCAGCATGAAGAAAAAGGTAATACTCCCAGCCTTGAGTAGTTTGGGCTGAAGGTTATTGTATTCTGTTCCACCACAAATAAAAGCAAAAATGTGGTTTTCTGTGTGCAATTCTGAAGTACTCCTACTGTAACCATAACTCTTTTTTTTTGGTGGTGGTTTTTTTTTTTGGTTTTGGGGGTTTTTTTGGGGTTTTTTTTTTTTTTTTTTTTTTTTTTTTTTTTTGCTTTGGGTGTTTTTTAATCATTTGAGCCTTTTATGTGAAAGTTGAGTTTTATTTTCTTATTGAAACATATGGTATATTCTTGTTCAGCAAGGTTGGAATTTGGTAGTCACCAGGTCACTTTCACTTTAAATTCCCCAAATTGTTCTGTTTCCTTTATAAATAGTTTACTGATAGATAATTTCTGACTTGCACGCTTGCTCTTTTGTAGGTTAACAATCTAAAATGGCATCACCTAAAAGAAAATGAAAGGGGAAGAAGCATTTGACGTAGCATGAATTGAAAACAGAAACCCAGGCTATAGCACAAAATCAACTTTGAAATTTAGTATTCAAATAGTAAAACAGTCCATATTGCTTCTATTTTAATGAAACACACTTTTCACTGGCAGTCAAGAACAAGTTTTCCCCTGTTTTCTGTTGTTAATCATCACTGAAGACTGATGCTGTTGGGACAGACGGTGCTTTCCCTTTTTCCTGATAGCCAGTTGAAGGAACATCTGTGATTGCTTTTGTGGAAATTGAAAAGGGCTAATGATAAGCTGTGCCACTGCATCTTGAGCTCTCTGGATTGTCTGCTCATGCCTTCTTGCATTTTGGTTTTCTTTTTTCCTCCTTAGGGTTATGGGGGTTTTTATCAATGAACAGACCTGTTGCTGCAGCCCCTACTCTTGGCATGCTTCTACAGGAGCATGGCAGATTTCTTAGTACCCACCACACAATTGTTTCTGCATCACAAGTCTGGGGACTTTAGAGTAAGTGATCTGCATTTTGGATCTGGGATCTTTTTACATTGTTGAGATACTCGGATTTAAAGTACTCTTTTCAAAAACCCTTGCACCATAAAGCTGTTTCTTGTCGGCAGCTTGTTCATAAGGAAAATTAATAAGGTGTCTTGGCCTGCACACCTACTTTTGTGAAAACAGGCATTATTTCCTGGTCCAAGGCTCTATGGCGTCCATGCTGAGTCTCACTTTGAAGTGTTTTACCTAAAATGCAAACAATGGTGCATGAAGATTCAGAAATATTGAATAAGCATGCTTGCTTTGGGGTTCGATGGTACACAATCACCTACAGCTTTCTAAAAATTTTCTCAACTATTTACTGATGTAGATTTTATTTTTAGCTAGAAGCTTTGCATAAATGTTTATAGTGAAGGCAGAAATGTTGCTGTGCATCCCAACAGAATTGTGTTGCTGTGCATCCCAACAGAATTGGCAGTGGGTTGAGTTCAGGCCCTGCCCAGCAAGATACAGTTAGCCAAAGCAAAACCCTGACTTAGCTCTCTGCTTTAAGCCTTTAGTAAGCCAGTGACAGGCAAAACTGGATAATGCCCATGTATCTCAAAAGATCTATGTAAGACTGTCATATCAAAATGTACATGGGAATTACATTAAAACCTGTGTCAGCAAGCAAGCAAACAAAACACTCTGAGCCCTGCGTTGTGTTTCCTGTACCAAGCAGCGGCTGTTCGAGGGGAGGGTAATGGTGACCAGCTCTGCTGCCTTACAGCAATCTTCCCCTTGATCATGCTTATGCTCCATCTTTCCCCTTAAGCCTCTTGTTAACTTTTGTGTGGTTTTGACAATTCCTTATAGCCTGTTGGCTGCTAACCCACACAGGTACAGCCTTTCAGGTTTCCAAGTGGAAAAAAAATACTGAAGAGTGTAGTAAAGTTGAACATGCTTGATGACTCAGCACTGTATCTGGCAACCAGGATCACCAACCATGTCCATGGGGGGCAATCAGGCCAGCTGGGTGAGAGAGGGGATTGTGTCGCTCTGCTCTGTACTGGGGTAGCGTCACCTTGAGTTCTGGGGGCAGTTTTGGGCATCACAGTATAAAAAAGACATTGAGCTAGTAGAGAAGTGTCCAAAGAAGGGCCACAAGGATGGGGAAGGATCTAGAGGGGAAGATGTATGAGAGCTGCTGAGGGCACTTGGTTTGTTCAGCTTGGAGAAGGAGAGACTAAGGGTAGATCTCAATGTAATCTTCAGCCTCTTGAGGGGAGGTTAGGGGAAGGTACCAGTCTGTACACTGATGACCGATGACGGAGCTTGAGAAAAGATCATGAAGCTGAGTCAGGGGAGGTTTAGCTTGGATTTCAGGAAGCTTTTCACCCAGAGTGATTTTTGCAGTGGAATGGGCTTCTCAGGGCAGTGGTCACAGCACCAACCTGAATTCAAGGATTTGGACAGTGCTCTCAGTCATAGGGTGGGGTGCCCTGTGCAGGGCCAGGTGCTGAATTTGATGATCCCGATGGGTCCTTTGCAACTCATCTCTGTGCTCTGCGATTCCATGAAAATGTTGTTAGAATGGTGATGTCACTGAAACCAGAACTAAGCCTCTTAGCCATAAAATGGCAAAAAATGAAAAAAAAAAAAAAAGGCACCCACAGGAAACACAAGCATTAAGGTAAGAGAATGTTGTCATAACAACATCTTTCTGGAGTCCAGTTCCTGGTTCATTGCTTTAGAAAAGACAGGGCAGGAAATGATCTCAATAAATGAGTCCTCAGCCATCCTGCACTAGAACTAGGGTGGGAGGTGACCAGATTGTTGGAAGCCTGCAGGAATAAAAAACGTCCAACTTTGTAATGGCTCCTCTTTGTTCCCTGAAGTATCAATTGATGCCATTGCTTGGGTATTACTGCCATTAAATGACCGCTTCTAACACATCCCATTCTGCAGTTCAGCTGGTCTCTTGCTCTCCCAGTGAGTGTATAAAATGGTTTATTTACTTTCTAGAAACATGTTACGTATTTCAAAAATTACCATGTTTCCCATAATCTTCTCTAGTTTTAGGAATTCCAGTTATGATAATTGCTATAATTTGTCATACAAGATTTTATTAAACTGACTTTTCACTGTGTGCTTTTTTTTCCCAGTGTTACTTGGTCTTTCTGTCCACTGACTGGCTTAAATTGAACTCTAGTCCATTCTGTGGGTAGCAGATTTTCAGACAGGATGTTACAAAGATAATTTAATTTTTTTTTAAAGGGTTCCTTTTTTTCTCCTGTGAAATCATCACAGACCAACATAGGGGCAAGAGAGAATTGCTAAATCAGACAGTCGGCCTTGATTCTTTTTTGCTAGGTGAAAGTACAGGTATCTCATTAAGAAATGCTTACAGATAATTTCTGTAAATAAAAGTCTCATTTGAAGGTAGTATTCAGAGCTTCCTTTTGGCTACCTCCTTTCAAGGACTCCTTTCCAAAACTTGTCTTTTTGTAAAGATACAAAAGCTGAATTTGTCACTGAGAACACTGGTAATTTTGTTGCATGGGTGTGCAGTGAATGCCTTTTTTCCAGAGTTATCTGTGAATTAAATGTGGGGTTATTTTAAATGAACCACTCCTGATCGAATTCTGGTAGCTTACCTCCAGCTTCTAATGGAACTGGAAAAGTCAAATGGTGGTGTTATGTTTGATTTCCTCTGTTCCAGAGACCAGGAGGTATCATTGAGCCCCCACTGCAGGGTGTCTGCTGCTGGTAACTGAGCATCCATGTTCTGACTGTACCCTGTCCTCTGAAAAGCAGCTTGCTGTCTGTAGTCCATTTAGCAGACAAGATAGATTCCTGTTCCAGAGAATTCAGAGCACAAATTCTGCTGCAGCCAGGAGATCTATTGGACAAGGCCCTACAGAAAGCTCCTGAGAGGGGAGGGATGGGGTAATGTTTTGAATGCAATTTGCTGATGGATGGTTCTGCCATTTTTGAAAAGGTTTTTGAGATAGAAGGAACCCCAGTTGTGAGAAATGGCACTCGCTTTAAAAATTTAGAAGGTTTGTTAAAGCCTTATAAAAAGTACAACAGAAGACTGAATAGAGAAAATAATACAGTGCACCAGGAGCAAAGGATTCTGTCATCATCTGCTCATCCACACAATGGATGTTCTGTCTTTCAACCCTTTAGCCACTCCCAAAGTTTTGTCAATCGACTCCTTCACTGTTCAATGGTGGAGATAATTTTTTTTACATCTTGATTGGAGGTCAGGTGTTACCATAGTAACAAGTCCATCCTCCCAAGTGTCTGGACTACCCAGGCCATCCTGTGATAACAGTGCAAGGGGGGAGAAACATACTATACATCTACAAAATTTCTCTTAACATATGCTTAATATTTGCTCTTCAGTTGTGAGAATCAACCATCGCATTACTCATCTATAACAAACCCCCCTTTTCGATAAGTCATTTGGCTCAAACAATTAACTTAAAAAAATTTTTTCTCTTGAATGAGTCATACTGACATCTATTGATGTGGGTAAGAACAGTGGGAACTGGAGAAAAAATCTCAGGTTTTTCCTAGACACACTTATTTGAAATGGACAAAAGGGCATCACAGAGGTCCGGTATGGCTTTGAGTCCCATCTACCGTGCCTATTGGGTTCCTACCCAGAGTAGGTGAATCTTAGTGATGAGTACAGAACCCAACTTGGTCTTGCCCTCTAATCCCTTTTGTATTAAAAGGCAGCTGAGGAATAATAAAGGTCCAGTATGGCCTTTTTTGCCCCTACCTTACCATGCCTATGGGGTTGCTACCCACATCAGGGCTATGGAATCTTCTTGACAGTGAACAAAGGGACCAACCTGGTCTTGCTCTCCATTCCTTGTCTTACTTTACTTATGGTTCTTAAGGAGGCTGTCCCATTACCTCTTACGGTCCCTTGTGTACTTCCCCTCAACAGATCCTTGTAATTCTCACCGATTAAAACAGAAAAAGAATTCTCAAGCTGGCTGGTGGAAAGTTGACTCTACTTTTTTGGCATCTTGTTGTTTTTCTGGTTATCTCTTGGTCTCTGCTTGCGAGTCAATCTCATTTCACCCAGTCTGGATGTTATAATCCATTCTTTGGGTTCTTCTACTGGGCCTTTAACTCTGTTAGCATGAG